TATGAGATCAAAAGATATAAGAGAAAAGGTAATGAATGATTGTAAGCATCATGAACGATGTAAAATGGAAATTTGAAGAAAATCTTTATCACAGTCAATGCTTTTGAAGCACGCTCAACCCGTATAGTTTCCATCACATTGAAGTCAATTAGAACTTTGATTTTGTAAACTGATTTGTTCAGAAAATGATTGCTTGGATAAATTAATATAATCCACAGGTGAAATAGTTAACATAGAGACCCATTTTTCCAGCCCCTTAAAGTTTTCAGCAGCAAAGACAAAACTCCTTCCTGTTCTAAAGTACAAGTTGATCAAAAACTGTACTTTGCTACATTTCACTCACGTTTTGAACTTGATTTCAAATGTAAAATCTTTGCCTATTCGGTTCTCATCACACAGTTCGATGAAACAGTCTTCGATGATTAATATTTGAAAAGGTTTCTCATCAGTTTCTTTATTGTAAACAAATAGAAGGTTATCCTTCAAAACACCATAGCACGGTCTCCAACGAAAATCCTGAAAAAGCTCTGTTAATGATATTGTGCCAAGGAGTGCCATGAAAACAACTGTTTTAAAAGCTTTGCTATCAATCACTTAAAGTTCAACATATCTTCTTTTTTATTTTTCATAACATTAACACACCTGTTGTAATTGCAGATTTCCATCAAATCGTCTTTCGTGCGTAGAATCATTGGCCAGCAGGTATAAGGAGCTCATATTCGCCAGCATCGTTCACGATGAAACTTTTCTGTAATATAATCTTGTTGATATTGTGTCAAATATCTAGTCAGAGACTGCAGAATGATTGGAAGAAATCAGCTAATGAGGTACTATCACGAATATTCAATTTTAACTTTTCAAGTTTAGATAGTACTCTGCGAGGATGATGAAGGTCGACTTTACCATCGAGAAAATTTTGGAAACAAGGAGATTTATTGTAAGAAGAAATTGGTTAGAGCCAAGTATTTGAATTCTGTCAACACGACCGGGTTAGTTATACGAATGGATAGTTTTGATATTGCCTATGACTCGACAAACAATGATTCCTCGGTTCTAAAAATCGATGCAATAAGCGCATCGAATACGTAAACGTCTAAACACGTATCTTGAAAATTTTTCAAGTTTTCTCCTTACAAAAACACAGTTTTATGGTTTAGTACAAGAATTAATGAAAGAAGAAGTTGGAAACAACAAGAAACTTATGTTAGTATTCCAGTTGGGCGTTTTTGGAGGTTGAAGTCTTAAAGAAAGCGTCTCTCGATTTACAAGGGTATGTAGCTGGATATTTGGAAGGTAGACTTATGCTTTCGAATGAGATATAATATTAAAAACATCAGGCATCATTTCAAAAGATCTGATAGACTTGCATATCCAAAATACCGTTGACGGATATTGCGACGGAGCAGAAGAGTACTGCGAGAATTTGAATAACTTCCTGCTCGAGAATGTACAATGGATGTTGGAACAAATAAAGAACTATCCTGATGATGAATACTGGCAACAGGTTGAATACTGTTTTGAAATTCACTCAATGTTATTTAGGTTAGCTTAACGTTGCATCAAGTTTTTGGATTGGTTGATGGATATGACGGAGTACTTAACCAACAACTTTCTATCAAGAATCTTGTAGCTCATCCTATTTAGTAATACGCCAAAGTATATCATGAATAATTTAAATTTTTTAGTCTCATCCAATTAGCTGGCGATCTTGAAGATTTATCAGAAAAATTCAACAAACCTTCGAACCCTACTAGATTGAAAACTGGTCATGGACGCTGCTCGGCTTTAGTAAAAGTATGTGGCTACAGTTAGAAATCAGAAAAATCATCAAGTTTCAGTTGTTACCTGACTTCTCAGATATTTACTTTTCGCATGTAACCTGGTCCTCATATTCCTCCTTGTTGCGTATGCAGAAGAAATATACTTTTAGATCAAACAACCCAGGAAATTCCTACAGTTTTAGCAGCTATCCTGGTTGAAATTATATGAGTTTTTCCTCAGTATCACTGATATTACAGGCTCAGTCACTTCAACCGATGATTTCATCCTCACTTCCGCGAAGTTAGCTATATTCGAGACCACAATAGGAAACTATGATAAGCGACTGTATGACTTCACAACTCCTCAAACTGTCCTGACGTTCATTCGCAGCCAAGTAAAAACTATTTTTTACCTGTCACTAAGACAAATGTTATAGATTGCTCATCGAACTGCCTCTTCGGGGACAGAATGGGCTCATGCTTTCGCTAAGCATAACAGCGGAACATACAATAATCAATGGGTAATCTTGGACTACAAAAATTTCAGAAGATATGACTCAAATCAAAGATCCCATGGACTTCTACATGTACTGGAACAAATGCCGTAGGATTTAGTCATACTGATATGACCTCATGAATCTTGTTTACAGACATCATATTGTTCACTCTGATATGACCAGCCAACTCTACAACACCACGTACTGGCCTAGTTACAATACACCGTGAGTTGTTGTGGAATGCAGACCGATAATTATATTATAAGATTATTTTAGATATTTCCCTCAAATATTCAAGTGGAGTGGCGCCCCTGCTATGGTTGATAGATATGGCGATTGGTATAGGTAACACGATTATCCTTAGTTTTCATGTAGATAATTTCTCTTTAAAGTTATGACAAGACACCCAGGGCTTTAATATTCAAGCGCGACCATTCGAAGGTGAAAGATATGCGAACTATGATTAAATTAATGAGGTAAAAACAGTTAAAGTATAAGACTATTCTTGAATAGATCCAATAATTACACTGAGGACCCACTGTCTGCATGTGATTGCGAGCCTCCTTACTCGGGCGAAAATGCTATATCTTGCCGTAGCGAGCTCAATGATCCAGATGGAGTTTATCCTTTCCCAGCTTTAGGATATAGAGATCATGGAGCTACAGATATGAAGGTCTCTTTTTCAAATCAATAGCTTATATAATATAAGTCCTAGGTCACTAATAGTTACCTTATCAACAAATTGGCTTTTACTGCGATTGCTGGACCAACTCATGACCCGACACCTGTTTTTGATTGGAGAACAATATCAATTAAAGACAAAGTTCCCCATAATGGTCAACCTGATGTTTGGGAGTTAGTGATAAAAGAAAACTTATTTACTTTAAAACTTTTTTTTACAGCTTCAAACCAGTGACATTCAAATGGAAATAATGTAGAAGATCAAATGTCACGTGAACAAAACTGTTATCGTTAAATTATTTTGAAGAAAAATAAGGAATAAAAACATTGACCTTAGACTTTCTTCAATCTACGATAGTTGCATAAAGAGTGTATAGTGAATGAAGAGCCATTTCGAACCAACCCCAGCTTTAGTTGGAAGGCCTATTGATTTCAGTGTAGCGGGGGGGAGGCTGCAGCAGGTCTCATCTCTAAACATTCCATTCAGAGCTAGTCCCTTTTATAACTTGCCTATTCTAGTGATACTTCTTGAATTTTTAATGCGAGCAAACGTTTGAAATTATAAATTATCTGTTCGTATTGAAAAAATCTAGTCTGATATGGTAAAATTAACTGAGTCAACGGTCTATATACGGACTAAAGCATCCGTTGAGGCAGTAAAGAAATTAAACTTATGGTGAGTCACTGCTTAAAAATAGTACAGCTGAAGCTTAGGTTATATGTATTTCATCAATTTTTTAGGGGTTGCGATATCGATGATATATCAATTTGTGCCAGAATGACTGCCTTAGAAGTATTATCACTTAGGTATGTTGGCATTAGCAACCGAAGAAAAGATAACAGTATGAGTTTTTTGGGATTATCAATTGCATGGATATGTATTGTAGGCTCCTACAACCAAGCAAAGTATTCAAAATAAAACTATCTCTTACTTTTTACTCTTGCTTATACACTTCTCTTTACTTCAAAGAGAACTTGAAAAAACAATTGCTTCCTTGCGAATCAATAATGACAGAGCTTCTAACAATTCTTGCTCAGAAAGCGCGCGAACTAATGAAAGAAACCTCGAGTCTGACCCTCATATTATTAAATGAAAAGTATACTAACCATGCTGTATAAGATGAGCGGGATCTTGAACTTCTGCAATATGCGCTGGAAACCAACCGTCTCTCGGCGTATTTCAAAATGAAATGAGTCAGGTCAAATGTTTTCCCGTAGAGCGCGTGTCTTCCCCTAATGATTTTAGCCAGAATGCTCAGTCAGCTAAAAAATTGTCAATGAGATGATATTATGAAATTTATTTATTTTTAGTGTCAACCGTGTTGAGTCCCTAGAGCCTTTGCAGTATTGTCAGAAATTAACAGAACTTTATTTAAGAAAAAATAACATACAATCGCTAGATGAGTTAGATTATCTGAAGGTTTTTTATTTGTATTTCTTTTCAATAGATCGCTTTATAGGGACTGAAAAACCTACGCGTTTTATGGATTGACGAGAACCCTTGTGCTCAAAATGTTGCTTACAGGTCTAGAGTGCTAAAGCTACTTCCTCACCTGACTAAACTGGATGACAAACGTAAAAGCAAAAACTTTTTCGATAGAAAATAGATTATTGCAGCTGTCAATCCTAATGATTTACCTGTTAGTCATTCTGAAGAAGATCTGACGGACAGTGATATGTACAACACAATTCGGAGAAACTCTCGAAATGAATCGAGAATGATTAGCTCTTTCAGTGGGAATCCCAATGAATTAATGACCAGATCCTTATATGGTCAGTAGTAGAATTTTTCTTGTGAGCTTTGAGTATTTAAGGAAGGACAATCGTAGACACGGTTATGCAACCTCAGTTAGCTCATTATGGAGATACTTCAGACGAAGACAGATTATCAACAAGAGAAATTGCACCCTCTAAAATGTCTTCAAGGTCTAATCTAATGTCTCAATCTGTGTACGGAGCTTTAGCTGAAGATGACTGGGGAGATTTCAAGTGAATTATAAACTGTTGCCAAATTCAAGATATATCTTTGCAGTGTTGACGAAGAGTTCATCCCAATGTCAATGGAAAGCATCACACCACGTATGTGTGCTAGTATGCATGAAACTTTAGATCGGAGTCCGTGTCGTTATAATAGTGGAAGGAGTGTAAGTGTACCTCGGAGAAGAATAACCACTAGACAGCAATCCAACAGTCCAGCCAGAGTAGTTCAATTAGATTTGTTAAATACTTTTCTTTTTTTTCCCAGGAACAACGATTATCGAAGATTATGTCTGCTGTATCTACTCTCTTAGACGAATTGGATCACGATGGTTTACGAGCAGTAGTGAACGAAGCTCAAAGTCGGATGAAAAAACAAAGATAGCTTTCATTGAATACTAAGGTTCCTATCATGTTTCGTCTTAGCTTTGCTTTTTCCCAATAAAAGTATGATGTATCGATGTCATAGGACTTTTCAGAATTATCTATATTCTCATTCATACAATGTATTTTCATTATTATTCAACATATGGTTCGAAATCTATCAAGGTTATACCGTTTTTCTAACCACGCCCATAATCTTGAAGGCTGAGAGTACTGGGTGGCCCTTGTTATTCCAAGTAAGTTTACTCTTCTTCTTCCCCCGTTCTTGATACGGTCCAACTACGTTCATCTTCTACTGAATACCATTTTAAAAATTCCTAGAATTAAACAGTCAGCTAGAAACATGTTAATTCATATTCTTATTTTATTATTTTTGGTGAGTTCTGTTTTCTTAGTTTTTTAGTTAACTGGTGTCGGTGAGTTGTCATTCATTTCTTGCTCAAGCGACCTTGGCCACCTAACGCAACTCAGCCTATGGATTGTTATCTTTTCCATACACTTCAATCATTTTTCCTTAATCTTGTGCCACAATAATCATAAAATCTAAGAAAGATCAAATGAAATCCGTCCTAATTTTTTTTGTTATAGAGAGTAAATACCTCCACAGCCAAAACTGTAAACAATAAATTGATAGGTGAGAAAGAAGTAAAAATCAAACTTCAACAGTTTTTTAGACAACCCAAAGGTTACATGTGGACCTGATGCCTTGACCATCGAAGCTTCAAGTGAAGACGTTTTTGAAGGACAGGTGGTTTTCACTGTATGTACTTAAAGACCACGGATATTTAACAGATCTATATTAAAAACCATCGTCGCACGTCTCCAGAATGTTTCAACGTCTATTCTTCCGAGGACAACACAACATCACCAGTGTTCTCGCTATCACTTAGGAGTATTTCGACATGCGGCTTGGAAATGCAGAGAGATGTACTTTCTAATTTACTATTCAATACATGGCCAAACATTTTAAGACTCGAACAAAAAGCTTACAACTTTCCGTCGTTGTCATAGTTGCGTTTCATCCTTCTTTCGTTACTGCAGGGGACAGAGCTTTTGCTGTCCAATGTCTGTTTCATCAAGAAGATTATCCAGTATCGACAGGGTTGAACATGGCCGAGTTTGTACATTGCAACAAACAACATCTTCACTCGAGTACTTATAGGAAATTCAATGCGATAGCCTTGGAAGGTTCCGGCGAAGTGCCATCTGTCCATCTAACGATAGTTCCAGGAAAAGTTCCTCTCAATTCAACCGGTAAAAATGCTTTTAGTTCGTTTAAAGTTCTTATTTAAGGCGAACCTGTCACCACTGAAGTAACTATTGGTCAGTCAATTATGCTCGTATGGCATTTGAATAATCACTCAAGTAAGTTATCAAATTATTGATTGACTGTATTGCGCGTCATTTGCTCCAATGGAGTCATTTCGAAGCAACCAGACTATGATTAAAGTCTAATTCAACCTTGACGACATGTCTTAAACCAACAGAATGACATGAATGTGTTCTTTTCAATTTTTTGTTTCTTTTTTCATATTTCTTCGTGACGAACTTTAATTGTTGTTGGTATGACTACCTTGAACTCAATATGTTAAATTCATTTTCGTTTCATTAATTTCCAATCTAAACCTTTCATCGTCTATTCAGCAGTAACCATATATGAGAACTTTTTATCAATTTGCTTTCAGCAGTTTACGGTCTTCGGGTTCTTGATTGTGCCGCGCAATCAAAGAATGGACGAGGCATGCAGATATTGGAAGATGCCTGCTCTTCCGATCAAAATCTCATATCTCATGTTCGGTTAGTTGTTGATCAAAATTCTCATGTGAAAATTGTTCTTCAGTTATTCTGATGAAAACAATAGAGCTTTTGCTGATGTAACAGCTTTCAAGTTTCCTGATGAATCCGAGCTTTACTTTCGTTGCCATATTCGACTCTGTATTCGAAAGTGAGTAATTAACAAGCTATATTGAGAGTCCAAGCTATTCCAGGTTCGAACACTTAGTTATAAATGGAGCAGATGAATCCGATTTATGTCCTTCGAATAATGTATGCCTTTTTTTAAATCTTTCTTTGTTGATAGTTCCTATTCAGATGTGCGAAGGAGCCTCAATGAAATCTAAAAGAAATGTCAATCTAAACAAGGATTCCATGATTGTAGTTTCTGGCAGAATGAACGTTCTAGAAAAATTAGAAAAATCAAATGAGCCGTTGTCACCCATCGCTATGAGACAAAGTATGTTTATATATTATAGCAACTTATTTTACTTTTGTAGGCTCCGATCCAGCCGTACTGGACGATAAAACTTGTTTGAACAAAACGGTTATGATCACAAGCTCCGTAATTTCCGTGATTGCTCATAGTTTGAGTATATTCTTCCTTTTTTATGTTTGTTATTCGAAAAATCGAGATAGATTACATTACGTTTGATTTAATTTGAATTTCTATTTCCATTTTAATAAACGGGTTTCATATTTTTTGAAGCTTTGTTGTTTCCATGACAACTAGACTCCTACTGTTAAGAATCAATGCGAACTTTCAGTAAATCTCATTATTAATGAGTAAAACTCGAGAGCCTTGGAAACACATAGATTATCCTTATTTTCCTTTCCGATTATCCGTTGATTATGTCCTTGTATCTCGTACAGATAACCTAAGCCGCCAAGTGTATAGGAATTTATTTGAAAAAGTTAGTTTGAAAATTGTTGTAGTCTTACTTGGATATTCTAAGGCTTGCAAAAAAGAAGGATTGATAATAAATCATGAGATTTCTAATAAAATCTGTTTCACCCTCATTAGTACTCCTTTTCATAAGCTATGTCAGGAATGTGAGAAGACTCAGATGTCTTTTCCCCTCAAGGATGTAAGTTTGGCTATAATGACTTCAGTGTTTACATTGAAGTATTTCAGTGCATAGTTGAACCTCAACTTGCTACCTGCTTTACATTCATATCAAAACTCTTTGTGAGCGACGATTCTGGTATCTCTTAGCTTGTCGAGCCTTTTATAGTGATTTATAGTGCAATACATTAGTATTCCTTTCCAACGAAAAGTTTCTCATCTGTTCTATAACTATACTAATGAAAAGTTGTTCTTCAATTCGGCCCAAAGGTCAAAACTCACTCATCAGGTGATTCTCTTTTGTATTAATTATTGAATTCATTCGTTGATGTAGATTTTAACCCAAATAGATATTAATCAATTCTTCGAGGAGGAACAAGCCTTAGAAAACTCTTTTCCCAATGAAAATCCCAATAGAGTGAACATCATAATGGGTGAGCATTGTTTCAAACATTTCCTAGCTGATACAAACGCTTCATTTTTTCCGTGTTTGCGTGTTTTTCGAAATTCATTTCAAAATTTTATCGCGGGAAATTGGTCGATTATGTAGTTTTGAAGAAAAGTGTAATATATGTATATGGTATGTTTTTCCTAGCTATTCGAAGTAATTTCAGATGAAAGTTTGAAAGGGAAAGGTATTGATTACCTCCTCTTAGAAAATGTTTATGACGATGCCTTCATTCTTCATGATCCGAGTGAGGTAATAAATTATACAACATAAATATCATTTGAACTCACCAATGAAGGTCGAACCATATTTCAAAAGAATGAAAGAAAATTCTTTGATGAGTTTTCTGGAAGCTGTAGAAGAGATTGAAGATGACCCTCGCAAACAAATTAGCGAGATCTGGTCGAAGTAAGCTGGATATGTGAGATATACTGACATATGTTTAAGAGTTTACAAGCTTCAACCTATAAATATGATTCGTGATTACTTTGGAGAGCAAATTGCTTTCTATTTTGCGTGGCATGGAACTTTTATTACTCTTTTGTGGCCAGCTGTCGCTTTAGGTCTGGCTGTAGTTGGCTTTGGAGTTGCAAAAAAGTAAGAAACCCCAAAACTCTTCAATAATTGCTCTCAAACAGTATAAAGGATGAACCGATGAGTCTGGCCAATTGCACAAACTTAAGCTACGAAGGCAGTGTTAAGATAGTACCATGTAACCTGCAAGAAAAGTACGAAATCAACAGTTTAGCTTGTGAACTAATAGTTTAGCGGGCAACGTATTTTCACAACAATATGGCGCTGGATTATGCGATCATTTGACAACAAATTGAATGCGTTTTATGCAGCATTCATGTCCATATGGGGTAAAATTGACTGAGGTTTTCTATACATAAGAGTCATTTAGGATCACTTTTTTATCAAATTTGGAAAAGAAACAGTTCCACCTTAGCATATAGGTGGGACACAGAAGATTACCATGAGGTTGAGCCAGACAGACCCGGATACGTGGGATCAGATATGGAAAAAGTTAGAAGAAAAAAAGCTTATCTATTTAAGTTTTCTACATTAGGATCTCATAACTAATTCTCCTAAATGGATTCCATTCAATATCACTATCTTGTTGAAGGTATGATCATTTTTCTCTGAGTGAGCACGGTGTCTGATTCAAGATGTTCATGTCGGCCTGCATTGTTGGATTTTTCATGCTGATAGTTGTCTTGAGTGTGTTTTGTGTTACTGTTTATAAGCTTTGGGTCATTAATAACAATGGGTGTAACGATTTGGTGAGTTCTATCTTTTTGCGAAGCAAAAGTTTTTGTAGTTTACTTTCAAATGTAGTTTGCTTACTACTCTTGTTCCTTCCGTTTTTAACACTGTGTCTACAATGTTATTAGGATGGGTTTTTGGAAAAGTTGTTGTCAGACTGAACGACTGGGGTTAGTACGTTGGTGCAACTCCACTGAGTAGCAGTTTCTTCAGAGAATCATAGAACGACATCAGAACATCAGAATGCCATGATTATAAAGATATTCGCATTTCAAATGGTTAACAGCTATACATCCCTGTTTTATATTGCTTTTGTCCGTCCAGAGCATCATGTTGGAAAATCAGCTTGCTTTATACGTTTACAGCATTCGATTTTACAGGGATTTCAATCAAATGGATTGTTCGGACTCGGTGAAGAGTATAAAGACTCGTGCTCAGGGTCAACCTGTTCGATGATGCTAGCTGTTCAGCTGATTACAAATTTGGTGCTAAAACCTATTCCGAAATTTGTGAATGACATCGTGATACCGTAAGCTCTTCATTTCACTCTTTGACATGTAATGTTTTAATTACAGGTTCCTTATGCTAGTATATCGTAAAAGCAAAATGAAGAAGAAAATCTCAGAGGAAGTAGAGTCACAAAACTATGAAACTAATTTTCTCATGAGAGAATGGGTAAAACCAGATCCTGGACAGTTCACGCTCTGGGAATTCAACGAAAAAATCATACTTTTTGGAAACACAATGGTACAAATTATGTCGATCATCATTTTCTATTTCGATTTCATCCTAGATGTTTGCTGCTCTCTTTCCACTAGCACCTCTTATATCCTTAATAATAGGTTTAGTGGATTTGCGAATTGATGCTCATAGACTGTTATGGTTCAATCGCCGTCCTCTCCCTTCTGCTGCGAATGGTTTTTGAGATATATTGATAGTATTGATATAAGTTTCAGGTATTGGTATATGGCTTCCTGTTCTGTTTTTCTTACAGTATGCCGCTATCATGACCAATGCTTTCATTAGTGAATTCGGTAATAAAAAAACAGATGAATAACAAACTGTTTAGTTGCCTTCACATCTGATTTCTGTTCTAACTTCTGGGGACAAGGTGATTGTAATTTACAAGATCGCTTCCTGATTGTCATAGTTTTCCAAGTCATCAACTCAAGTTTGTCTGATTTAATAACATAAGTTTTGCAGAATGTTCTCTTCGTTCTGAAATATCTGTTGGAAAGTCTGATACCGAGTGTGCCGGCAGCAATAAATGTCGCAAAAAGAAAAGTTTGATCATAATTTTCAGAAAATCGTTGAGCATCGTTTTTTCAGAAAAGATTCATCATCTCACATATAATTGGTAAAGGTGATTTACCTCAAAAAACACGAATGCGGTAATGTTTATGTCTTTTGATTTTGCAGCATATTTCAACTTTAGAAAACACGCCAGAAAAGCCAAATTAGCATGGATAGCTTCTCATATGTTTTCCAGATCTAACAACCTCTGAACAGAGACAATGCTGTGCAACAGACTAGATAAATATATTCCACCGTTTCTTCAGAACTATTGTTCATAGAGTTAGTTAATCTCTGAATGAAAACTTCTGTTGTATATATTCGTACTGTAAACTTTGAACGGTCTGCCGCATCGTTTCTGAGGAGTATAACTCTCATAAAACCATTTGCACAGGACTAGTGGAAGCAATTTAATGGAACGGTTGAAAGCAGTCTCGTAGAACGGTTGAAAGCAATCTCACAAATAAAAGGTAATGTTGTACGTAGTCATAAGATGAGGCTGTGGTGCAACCAGACGCTACGTAACGTTGAGTCTAAGACTCTTGTCTCAAATTTGAGCTGTAGTTAGATTTGAAACTGTTTAGGCAATCAATATTGAGGTGAACTCCTCTCTAAACCTTGTCTAAAACTTCAACCTTGAAATCTTCCCTGACTCACAGAGCAGTGTTGAGATATTTTAATTATACATTGATTAAGTCGCGCAGTTCGCAGCTTATCCTTTTCGCTTTTCACTTGGCTCGCCGTCATTTTTTCTGTGCGATTAGTTTCATACTAACTCAAATAAAAAGGTCGACATTTTTCATGATGAAATCAAATATTGATCACTCAATATACCATTCCCAGTACGAGAATCACTTGGAAGAAGAAAGTGGAGCGTCAGTTGCTCTCAATTGTTGCGGTGGAACAAGTTATAGATAAATCCGTGGTTTTGCTAAAAAAAATTGATGAGTATAGGTTTCAGTTTCACTATTTATTACTTGTTGACCTTCATTGGCATTCCCAACTGAATTGTTCTATAAAAAATTTTGAACTGCAAACTAAAAGAAAGTTGAACTTACCCATTGTTGGTTACTACCAGCAGATCCAACAGTAGGAGCCTGAAATTAATCAAATGCATGATAACCACTTCTAGGAACATACGTTAGGGAACTGCCTTTGATAAGGAGGTGGCTGTATTTGTCCAGCTGTGCCGATAGACGGGTCCTAAATGCAGGAGGTTATAAATGTTGACACCCAATTCTTACAGCTCCTGGATGATACATCAGCTCTCCGGCAGATCCTATGGGAGGAGCCTAAATGTGGAGTGTAAAACACAAGCTATAATTGGTAGGTACATTTGGCTGTGGTCGTTGATAAGGTTCCGGGGTAATTTCACCGGCTCTCCCAATCGAAATATTCTGTAATGACTAGCTCGGTTTGTAACTACCTTCTTTACGATACCGTTCCAGGTCTATAGTTTTGTTCGCCGGCCATGCCTATTCCGGAACCTATCTAGAACTGCATCATTTAGTTATTAAGGAACGTGTTCAAAACGGACCTGATGTTGACCACCCTGCGAGGGTCCATTTTCATAACCGCGTCCATGACCGTGTTCACGTCCATGTTCACGTCCATGTTCCCGTCCATGTTCCCGTCCATGCTCACGCCCATGTCCTCGTCCACATCCATGTCTATGTCCATGTCCATGTCCTCGCTCCTGACCATGGTCCTGGCCCTGACCCTGTCCATAGCTCTGCTCATAGCCCTGCCCAGAGCCCTGCCCATAGCCTGGCTGCTGTGGAGGAAAGTTTGATTGTCCATAAGGATCGTTCATGCCTGATCCAATTGGTGGAGCCTTAACGAGGTAAGGTTGTGGAGTTTCGGAACAGAAAAACACTTGCATTATCGGGAAAAGGAGTTTTACCCATATTTTATTAGAGGATTCTAAGGTAGTTGATGAGAGTACGCACAGGAGTTTAGCAATACGTGTCTGTGATGGAAATATTGGCAAGGAGGTAGAAATGTTTGTTTTCAATGGGAGTGTAAATATTGGCTGAATAATCGATTTCTCAATATTTACTTGGGATTGAAAAAATGAATGACTCACTCATTGAAAATATTTTCTATTAAAAAATGTTGCAGAGTTTTGTTCTTTATACTCTTAAAGGTGTTTGCTAGAGATGTCAAGTGATAACATATGACGCAGCTTAGATTTAATACAAACAGCAGATTCATAGAACAAAGCATTGAAATGCTTTTAAGAATTTTATTTATTATAATTTACAGACAGGCAAAGCATTTACATCCGATTCAAATCATTAATGGACATGAGGAGATTTCAATAAGAAACCAAATTAAATATTCTGTGGCGGAATACCAATGTTAATAAATGAACTTCATCTTTCTAATTTCTAACTTTTGAAGGAAGAATAGATCTTTGGTAATTAAATTTCTAGACGTTATTAACATGATGATGTACCACAGTCTTATACAATCCCGTATTTCGAAATTAATTTATATTTAGTTTAAGTGCTTTAAAAGAAGCTGGGCTCTACAATTACAATCGTACACAACGACCGGCAACAACTGTGAAACCAGGACAGCAAGCATTCTGACAAGGAGCCATCACTGTCCGATCCCTGTAAGTTCAGCGTTAACTCTTCATGTTTACGAATACTTACTTCTTGCAACGTATTCCCGAAAATAGCCCCAAGAAGCCGGAACACTCAGCCTCCTCGGTTTTCCTTGTCGCACATAGTCCGGTGCAGGCATGTACATTACATGTCTGCGTCTCCACGGGACTTCCACTGCAAGAAGATTTGTTTTGGAAAATTACAAAAAGCAGAATGGGATAAATTGCATGCCGATTTTGTAAACTAAAAACTTACGAGCATGCTGCCCCAGGTGGACAAGTTCGCACCCTCATGCGACTTCCACAAGCACCACAACTAGCAGTACATGGAGTCCAAGGTGACCATGATCTCCAGGTTCCTGAATAGGGGAAGGGTTGAGGATATCATGCATTAAGAGCAAGCAAACAATGAAAAAAAATGATTACCTTGTAAAGGAACCGCTCTTGCCCTGGCTTCAAAGCCTTTACCTCCTCGGTAGAATGATCGGAATAAGATGACCATGTCCTGAGTCGCAGACCGTATTTTCGTTTGCGGGGTTCCATAACAGCAGTATCTGTCATTAGCAATGTATTTAAATCTCAAGCCAAAGTGTACCTCATTCCGGTGTTGGCGAAATCTGTTGAGTTTCTAACTTCAACGTAGTCCATGCACAGTGAATGACGAACTTTACAATACATTTCGAATTCGCCTACGAATTGGAACTCCACAATTTGCTCCGAAGGGGCTTGTAATAGCCAGGAACACTCTTGTCCCTCTTTGAAGTCTTTCGGGTAACCTGGACTACTTATACGAGTCCAATCAGATCCAACCTATTAATAGTCTAATAAAAATCATTAATTGATGAGCGTCTTACAGAGATTTTTCCTCCGCAAGTCGAACCGTATCCCGGCATTACTTGTTCGCAAAATTGACCGGTGAATCCATCAGGACAACGACAGCGATCACATCTATTTAGAGAAGAATATCCGATTATTCTTAGCAGTCGACATACCTTCTGGGATCTGTGTAACCTCCACGTTGACAAGGTAATTTTCTTGAGCATACATTACTGCAGTATATTTTATTCATTAGACGAATATCGTTGAAAGAAAGTTGATCGCGTTGTCCTGGAAGTGTACTGGTGATTACTACCTCATCGAGGGTATTTGTATACCTATTGTTTTCTGGTAATCCGAAACAAAAGTGGTGATCGTGAAGAGATCATCAAAACGAGAGAATGCTTTGCTCCTGAACAGAACTATTTCATTAGGAAAAACTAGATAGACTGAAGGAACCTATAATGCATGATACTGCCGTAATCGTATGGGACACCAGCATTGTCGACGTCTTCAGGATATTCACGAAGAAACTGTCCTTTCGAATCCTACAAGAAATCAACTTTTTGCATTATACTTATTCCATACCTTGTCTATATTCTCCCATCTAACGTTTACAAACTGATCCCTATCTGGGCGGGATTGCTCATGCCAAAATCCAAGAGCATGAGCGACTTCATGAGCGATAACTCCTAACTAAATGTTTCATGGTTGATTTAATAGATTTAACAAAGAAAACCCGGATACACTCAGGAGCTAGAGAAACAAGCTGGTCCCCTCCATTGGGGCTTTTTCCGACGTTACTAGCACAACCATCTACATCAGTGAACACAATCCTGAACTGATGAGCATTGTTTTAAACCCAATAGGCTTACCTGCTAGGAACATCCTCATCGGCTCTCACAAAATTCAAACAAGTAATGTTATGCCAATGCTCTAATGCTAATTCAATAATGCGTTGTTCACGTGATGCTATAAACGTAAACATTCATGACGTCATCGGAAATTTATCGTACTATGTGATCCGTCAAAACCGTATGGAATTGGACGTGTTGGATCCCATCGCCTGGTTGGATCACCAATGAACTTTCTTTTCACTCGTCCTTTTCCATCTTGTAATGCGTTTTCGTAAATTGCTTTAGCTTGACTTGGGAAAAGTACAATATCTCCTATAGAATCATGTTGTATGATTTTAATTTTTATGAGCTTGCCTTGGAAAAACTTTCCATTTTCTTCGGGGTTCAATACATCCACATGGGTGTCATCCTTCATGCGGCGGGATGCCCATTTTTGTTGACTGAGAGAAGTCTGAAGATGGATGGAATCAAAAAGGGTACCTTTTGATCGAAAATAATATTGTGAAAATAAGTGAAAATGATTAGAAAGAGAAGAAGATACAAGGATAACAAGCGATATGACCTTGCTAATGAAGTTGGTTTCTATAGTACTTCACTCCAAGCACCCTGAAGGTCAAAAAGCTTCCTAGCATCATTAATATAAATATTGATAGAGGATACATCAGGTGTTTCATACTAGACTACTTCAGAAACGTTTTGGAGCCTCGATCATTTCAATAACCAGAAGTTCTATTAAGACAACTAACTAACTTGTTTTTCATTGGTCGTTGACTGCGGGTGCCGCTTGTTTGATAGTTCAGCTAATTTTTCCATATAGTAATTGACTTCTTTTTCTTCTTCTGCCGTCAACCCCATGCGTCGTAAATCAGACGTGTCCGAGGGAACATTTTCTTGGATAATGTCAATATTCTGAAAACTAACAGTAAATATTTTTTCCAACGATAATCAGAATAATTACGCATTTGGACCATTTCATTAGTTCGCGGTGAGTGCTCGCGAATGGTTAACTTTTCACTTTTCATTTGTTTTTATGGTGCTTCAATGTGAAAGTCATCTATCTTTGATTACAAGGAGCAATGTCCAGAAGTCCGACTTTGGAGGTCATTTCCTTCATGCGACAAGCACAAGAAACTGGTCTGATAACCTTTTCTAACAGTTTAATTGGGAATTGGTTCGAATTGGGGATGTTTTATTATTGATTATATAGTTAAGAAGGACGGGATAATCACAAAAGTGCAAGGTAGCTTTTGGGATGCGCATACCGTTCAATATACTTTTCTGTTTTTGAAATACGTTACTAACGAGATTGCAGATGAAACAGTTCAATGTGATATTACGAATGCTATGAATACTTTGTGAATACTATCTAATAGTAATTAAAAGTGGAGGAAAGTAGACTTCATAGAGTAAACACAATGCGTCTACTACTGACGAAAACCTGTCGGGACAAAGACTAAGTGTTAAGTAGAACATGAAGACATTATTCTGTGCCCCAGGCATTTCTGAACAAATTGTTTTTCTAGCTTATGTTTCCTTTTCTCTACTTTATTTACAGAAATCCAGATTTATAGACTGCCATTGTTGCATGGATTTATAGATGGACTTTTACAGTCCTATCGTTCCATGGTTTCTGTCTCTTATTCTTTCACTCTATGTCATTTGCACATGAAATCGTCGTTCGAAAATGACAAATGTTGTTAAGAAAAGTTGAAAAGAAGTGGGACAAGTGGATTCGTTGAAGAACGGTCCAGACGAATGGCCAATAAGCGTTATCGAAAATCCAGGTCAGTGTTGGGACTTGTGGTTAAGGTAATTACAAACCACATTGATGATTTTTAATTTTCAGTACATTAAGTTGCACTCCTTTGGCAGACACATCAAAACGTTGCAATCTAAGTTCCTAGTAGTAGATAGGTTGAAAAAGACAAATTCATGGTATTTCAATCAATTCGATTCAGAAGCGGCTAGAATCATTGTATGGAAGGGTAACTTTATGGTCGATCATTCATGTCGCAACCAAGAGGATACTTCAATGAATTCGTTCAACAGTTTCAATTCCAGTTAACATACGAATTAAGGTTAGATTAGAATTCATGAATAAGAAAGTGAGAATTGTGAAATCAAAAGATGAACTTCTCAAATTAAGGGAAACGGATATGATAATCACGAACTGTTGGGAATGAAGTACCGAATTTTAATAATTTTACGAACCTGAGCTAATGCATCTAGCTGAGCGGCTGTTGCTGTCGAAGTACTGACGACTCCACAGATAACGATAACGCTGACAAGAACGATGAAGTGATTGAAGAGAAGAAGAAAATAACGTAATAAGGACATGGAAGTGTGCTGGGTGATGATGCTTTCGGCCACAGGGTGTTGGGTGGGGGGGTGGGGAGTGGCGCTGATTGTGGGTAGGGTCTCTATGTGTCTTTCTAACTTCCCACTCTCTTGGCCATTTAGTGTATCTTCGTCTGTTGTTCTCTCCCTCTTTCTTTATATCAATCTATTTATTTCTTTTTGTTTCTCAATCTATCTCTGTCTCTGTTTTCTTCTGTACGCTTACTGACCTAGAGATACCATGGGAGGAGAGACTGAAAGAGATAGAAAGTTAGAGGGAAACTATGAAGTGTTGAAGACAACGCTACGACGACAGTGACGACGTCAATGGAGACGCAAGTAGGAAGATGATGAGTGCTAGCCTTTTCCTTCTGAGTAATATTATTTCTAGGTATGTATCTACAACCGTGAGTAAGTCGCTCTGGTAGTTCTTCCTTGTCTCCACCGAAGCCGGAAAATTCTCAGATTGGCACTTCAGGAACTGAAGTTTGGAAGAAACACTTGAACCTTCGAACTATGTTTCCTTGAACATGACTACTTTCTCAAGGCATTTACCTAGGTCCGGTTATAGTTACTCGGGAACTTCGAGAAACCTATTCACCCTTTCCAATCTTATTTCAAAGATCAAATTGGCATTTATAGAGATACTGTTGAACTGAGATTTTTCTAAGTGTAACGCGCATAACTTAAACAAGCAGCATCAAAACATTTCTCAAAATCCTGTCTTTCAATCTAGCTGTAGGGAGTGAAAAGTTTTAGAGAAATGAGACAGTCAATCAGAATAAAGTATATACCAAATTCCCAATGGTTAAAAAAGTTAAAAGGAAACCAGTAAATGTAGTAAACAGAAGTATTCTATTCGTAGCATATTTTCTTATAAAGTGCGAAAGTTGAGATGTGACTGGATGAGTATTTCACCAGGAAGACAGCTAGCTCAGCCTTCCCTATTAGATCAGATCGTGGGTGATCCATCATTTATGTTTTTACCAATTATTACTTTTAGACAAGTCCTGTTCCCAGGTTGACATTAAGATGCACTGTGCGAATAACCATAGATCTCAATGATTAACCATTCTTCTTGGTCAGCTCAATTTTTTCGCCGTAAACGATTATCTAGAGCCTTGTTTGGACAAACAAAGTGATGAACTACTTCTTTATGCCACATGATCTCGAAAAAGAGGTTCTTGATCAATTTCATAGGAAAGCTCGAAAAATAAAGCCAAAAATAAACCAAACTGGTTCCGGGACTCTTGATTGAACGAAGTGATATCATAAACGTGTTCTATTTGATGATTTTTAAAGATATGAAAATCGTAATCAACCATTTGATTTGCCGTAATACACACGCCAAAGATATTTTTCTAGTTTGATGGCAAAAATTCCTTGCAGACAGAATCTCTCTATAAAAATAACAGATAAGGTCAGCTGACAACCTTATGCGTCTTCAAAAATAGACTTAGTAGAGCCATGTGTTAAACTTTGAAAGTCGTTTAGAGTCTCAAAGATCAGAAACTCATACATGGTTAGAACCCCTTATAAGCAAATGATGGGGTATAACATGTAAACAAAACGAAGAAAAGATGTATCTTCAAGGTATTGTTCTTCCAAAAAGACAAACATTGGTATATAGGGAAGTTGCAAATATTTTCTGTTCGTTTCTGCAAAATACCATGAGGCGTTCTCTTCTCTCTCAAAATTGAAGCTATTGACACACACGGTTCAGTTGTACTGGGTACGCAATGTACGGAAATTGCTTATCGAAAACTCCGAACAGGTTATTTGAGTTATCAGACCCTACCTTTTTTTAAAACAATCTTCTGTTTATATGGGAAAGCCATGAACATTATTGACCACTCATTCACAAACATACATAATCAACAAAATTTAACAGAGGATGGCATACCGATTAGCTCTGATTTCTAGCTATCCTACAAAAAAAAGTGTCAATAGAATCTCGGATTCCCTTCCGCAGAGAAGGTGTGATCAGTTAGTTCGAGGCTTTTCATCAATCACAGATCATTCAGTTGGACCAAATGATATTCTTCGCTTCAAGACCGAGACCGAATATCTCATTATTTTCATAACAAGTATTGAGTGTTGTTAGTTTTCGACTCTAACGGATTTTAGTCCCAGCACGAACCAGCCCCCCCCCCCCCCCTCACACCTCTTCCAACCCTCTCGCTAGACAGATTGTTCGCAATTTCAAAACACAATACGGTTATTGATAATAGTCTTCACTATGTCTCTGCATTTTCAAATCGCTATGTTTTAATACTTTTCACTGTTTTTGACTAAAACGCTATTTGAAGTTGCCTGCACACTCGAACCAGTATCTGTTGAATTCTTTATATTACAAAAGAAGAAGAATAATTTTCAGAATGAGGCTCACGATTTTGGGAGCAAACTCGCTCTTAGGTCAGCATCTGGTTAAGCATGTTCAGGAGAACGTTGGATCCAGCATTGAGATTACAACATGGAGCTACGATACAGAATTGGCGAAAAAAATAGGTGTGAACAGCAATTTGACCTGTCATGATGTTGGAGCTTCAAGATATTGAAACAACATTCAACCACTACATTGGTACTGAAAACTTGGGTAAAGCTGTTAGGAAGGCAGATATTGTGAGTTAAATAGAAGAAAAACGGGGAAGGGTATTTTTGAGGTTGTAAATTTACACGAATATCAAGATTTGAGTATTTTACCTGATGTCGATGCACTGGAGCTTCACAACGTCGAATGTGAGTTTTAAACGTGTGTCTCTAACTGATGTATTTAGTTGTAAGATCTCTGGTTTTTCTAATGAACTCAGGATCCATACGAAACCAGGGTTTGATTCATCTTTCTTCGTGCTTCGTCCAGTGTGCTAAGTCTGTGCCTAATGTTTACGAGGCGGAGATGAATCCAGAACGATATACAAAAACTAGGCCCTTCCAAGTTGCTTGTGATTTCTATACTCTTTTACTTCCTTTAATTCCAGAGGTATTGTGAAACAAAAGCTGTATCGGAGGAGATGGTGAAGCAAAGTGGAATTTCTAACTTCGTTATGTTGGTTCACATTTGAAGGAGCTTCGTAGAATATCCCATTCTAGTCGTGCACTGCCAATGTATGGCCCCGGAGATGATAGTTCTATCATCACTGATTTCATTGCTGTTTCATCATACCTGGACTGTGTTCCGAGTATAGGAGATCGAGATGGAGTAACGCAGGTGCTTTCGATTTTCTTCAAATTTTATCTTCAAGTCTTTTTGAGATGGCGTTTGTTGGAAACGTAGCAGTAGGAATGTGGTTGGCCATTGAGAAACTATCAAATCTTCTCCCAAGCATGCAGAACTTTCGTAAAGATAGTTTCGAGTCTCTCAGTGATTCGGAACCTGTGCTAAAACTTGAGAACGAGGAGGGAACCGATTCTGATGCAAGTAGCGATCTTGCTAGTTCTAACAATAATTTCTCGTACCTTCACCAATCTGAAAGTGTTCATGAAGTAATTTTGTTAGCCGATGATATTCGCAGTAAAAACATTTACGAAGCCCACAGGGAGTTCATATGCGTAAGTTTGTCTTTTCTAAACAAACTAAGCTATTGAAGTTTAGAGTCCAAAGAGGCCTATATCATTAACATACATTCCTTTCTTGCCACTTTACTATATTTATCTGCTTTTTACCACACTCATTATTGGTGTGTCAAAGTTAGTTAACATTCCTAAAACTTTGGAGCAGGTAGTGTTTCTTCATTTTCATTTCAAAAAACCATGGCATGATTCAGCTCCCTGAACCTTACTTCTTCTACCATTACTTTCATCAGTGGACTTTCTTTAACACTTTGAAGGCGAGCTCTTTCCTGAACTATCGAGATAAGTACACTCAGAAGGTCTGACTCGTACTTGAATACCTGTGTTCATTTTGTTTCTCAGGAAATTGTTGGTATCTGTCGACCTTATTATCAACGCTTATCTGGAGCCTCTTTGAAAAACTTTTCCTGGAAACCCCACTTAGTTTAGTACAATAACTTGCACGTGATTCCTTGTGTATAATGCTATCTAAAACTAGCTAGTTAATAACTGGAGTGATCATTCGAATGTCAACAGAATTTCTAATTTTATCCTTTACGTTTTACCTTTCAATTATAATAAATATGCTTAGTCTTTAATCTTCTCTTTTGCTTTGTTGGTTTAACAGGCTAGCTCCACTTAATTCCTAAATGTTATTCATAGGTTTATCGCTTTTTTCTAGGATGAATAGATACTGGAAGGTTGGCATGAGACGTGGGTCTTCATTCCGTTACTTGATGTTGCACTTGGGATGTTTTGAAGGGAAAGTCTTGCCTGTTGACTGTGGGAACATTCTAAGGTATACTTTGCAATCTCCCCAAAGTCGTAAAGCTTCAAATCTGCGTAACCTCACTTAGCATAAGAGCTTCATTGATTATATTAACCTTTAGAGAAACATAAATATCTGCCCGAAAGATGGGAGCCGTCGGCAAATACTTGTAGTGGCCTGATATTAGCCGTACACAAACTGCAGCTCTTCTCTACCAGCTGAATTCATTTTGCATAATCTAATCAAGTTTTGAGATGTCTGAACTGCCACTCGAGTTATTCTTTAGACTTTGCATCAATGAGTATTAATAAGAGTTTGTTGTCTCTCCTACTTTCAATACCTTCTTTGTAACAATAGAAATGTCCAATCATGTCGCTCTGCCCAAGTTTGGAAGAGGACGCGGTTTCCAGCTTATTGAGCAAAAAGCCATATTGGGTCGACATAGCTAAAGAGGAAAGAACCACTGGCACCAAGATTTTTCCGCTTCCTTATGTGTCTTCGATTTCCTCTATCTCTAGCATCCGCTCTATCTCCCTGCGTGCCCCTTGCTTTCCTTTTTTGTCAACGATGATGATACGACATATTCCATTTCGACTCTGATAGCTTCTTTGTTCGAAGCTGGAGCATTTCAGAGGTTCGTACAATCATAGTAGTTTCTTTTTGTTGTTGTTTGTATATGTCCTTGTTTTGTTCCTTTTATGGCTTAGATGCTATCTCATGTTGATGGATCAATCACAATGTGTCAATTGTGCCTAAGGAATATCCACAAGTTTTTCGTCATGGACGAAAGACTAATCGTACCAATTTCACCCTTTTATTTCTAATTAGGCAGTCTCTTATCGACCAATGTTTCTTCTCTTGACCAGCTTCTATTAGCCGATGTCCTTTCTTTGGTTTCAAGAAATTTCATTATTTGCTCAGCATTCTTTTCTAGCTATTCGTATGTTAAAACCTACTTCCTACTGGTTGTGTCGGTCATCTTAGTCCTACTTTCCCACCATAAGGCTTTGGTCATTTTTAGTTTCTTTTACGTCTCCTTCTGCGTCTTTTCACTCAGCCGCCATTGCTTTTCTTAGTCTCCTTAGTAGCCATATCTCATGGGACTGATATGGGACAAACCACACTATCTATTTCTCAAAAAGATGATGTTGTTACCAAATTCGGTCCGAATCCTAGAATCCAGTCATAGAGTATAACCTTCGATACATTCAGATGGCTTCATTATTCGTCTTAATTGACTAACTAAGTCATAGTTTTTACAAAGCTCCCTCCCTCTCTTTTTCTCTGTCACTCCTCTCCCCCCTCACTTCCATTCTCTTTCTTTTCCAAATCACTCAACAAAAGAAATAAAACATCATTTTTTTGTTCAGAGAAGCTACGATTGATTGGGAATCCTGACGTCAACGCGTTTTCCGCTAAACTCTATCGTCCAGCTTGTTAAATTTTAAATTTTGTCTATCAAAATACGACCATTGTCTAACTTAGCTAACAATTAAGTCGTCAACTTTATCCAGATTGCATTATCAATGCAACATGGTTTTTTTGGAATCTGGTCAGGATTGTCCTGGCGAATTGAATTATTTCCTATTTCGGCAATCTTTAGTACAAGCTCGTTTATCAAGCTGATCCTCTAAATGTTCGTTCAAAGTTCAATAGAATACTGCAACTGCCCAAACTTCTGCAAAGCCATTTGAAAAAACCTCGTTTTCTTCTTTCTTTTACTATTTTTTTTCGAAACTCAAACTTCTTTTCAGAAATGGGGGAGAGAGACCACAGCAGTTCTATTACGGACCAATGTATGCCCAGCACATGTGAATCCAGGTCGGCATTTTATAATCTTTCATTATTAAGTTGATATGATTCAGTCCGCATATGCATATTTCCTCAGTTTATCCTGGATATATATCATACATGGGATGTATCAACAGAACTCGTGGTTCTGGTCAAGTATCATTTTTGCCCTATGGAGAGCGTCGTTTGAAGAATTCGGGTATGTATTACTCGGAAACAAAAAAGTTGGAATTGAATCGTTTAAGAGTCGTTCACTGGCGAAAGTAGCAACTATTTGATTGAGTCAATAAATTTCGTTAAAAAAAGTTCCACAGCGGGTTCTGGACGAGTCACTGGGACACCACCATTGTGTTCCCCAGAAGATGATTCAGAATTTACGGTAAGAATGAATCAGTAATGACTGCTATAAATTTCTTCGTAAATGTTTATCATAAATTACATTAAAAAATGTAGAGATAATCAAAAACTTTATTATACAGCTGATCTTTTTCAGATATCTGAGAAAGATTGGAAGAGTCCAGTACAAAAAAAATCATCACAAAATACGTCATCATCTTCTGGCTATGGATCAACTGATTCTGACCAAGATGAACAAGTTTGTCATTTTTTCTATCAAACAAACAGAACATTCTTGATTTAAGTCAGCTAGCAGTCATTCAAGTGAAGATGTAATAATTGCCGTAAACGACCGAAAGTCACGTGAATTAATTAAACAGGAGAGAGAGGTAAGATTTGTTCTGATTGATTAGCTAAAGAAAAGTGTTAGAAGAGAGCGAGAACTATAAACTTTTCAATTAATTCGTTTGGTTTGGGAAATAGAAAATATCTTCCCGCACTTGAATGCAACCGTTTTTTATCTCTGCAGCTTTTAAATGAAAATGACGCGCCTTCATGCGCAGTGTAAATTAGAATATTTCAATCTCAGTTACGATGCTATAAAAACTAGGAGACTCCGTAATTGCTCTGCAGAATCAATCTGTTATCATTAATGCTTGGTCAATAAGAACCCTTATCACCCAAAACCGGGATTAAGGGGTAAAAAAAACTTTAATCATTTGTTTGTTAAGCTACTGCGACTGAGACGGCGAAGTGTTCCCGCAACACTGACAAGTCAAATTCCGGACGATGTTGCCAATATCGCCCGGACAGAAGGCCTTTTACGAATAGAAACTAATGTGGTTAGTTTTTGTTATCTCTTTTATGAGCATATGTATAAAAAAAGATTTTGTTCTCTCAGCTGGTCTTTAAGTGCCTGCGGCGGCTTCCTAATGTTTTTTTTTCCTGTCTTACTATTTTGATTTTGTGTAAGTTCGCTTGCAAGCTTTGCAATTAGGTCAAGGCATAGCTCGGTTTTTTTTGTGGTTTTTTGGATGAGATTCTAATCTATTTGCCTCGTTTTGACCCTGTACATGAGTGCAAGTGTATGTGTAATGAGAAGGACGATCATTTGATAAGTAGAATAGCCAGTAAAGTAACTCTAGCTTCATTTCTTCATTTCTGCGCATATTTACACCTCACGTGAAAGACAGGTCGTTTCTTTCTTTTACAAAATTCCCTTGACAACTTCCTCCATGTGTCAGCCTACCTGACAATATTTATGCAAATACCTACCCTCCTCTTTGCACGATAATCTAGTGAGAATAAATAATATAATGAATTTATATAAACTCGTAGCCGAATTATATACACACGGTTGATGAAGAAAGAAGCATTGACAGCAGATCTTAAGAACAATCTGTCTTATACTAACGGCTTCCTCTCACTCAATCCCTTTAATGTCTCATTATCAAAAGTATCCAGCCGCTGTTGAAGTTTTTTTTTCTGTTTTGATCACATGAAGCCATTCATCAAGAACAGATTCATCTTCATATAATTTATGATCGACACAATTCTTAGCCTATATTCCACCTTGTTTCATTACCTGTAGAGAAACCTTGATTCCTTCTCCGCATTGCTTTGAGTCTTCCGAAATTCCTTCGGTATTCACGTTATGTTTGTCTTTCAGTTAAATGCCATTGAAAATATCTGAAAAATACTTCTGTCAATATGTCTCTCTCTCGACTTAATTATAGAATTTCATATTCTATTGCAGGATACTGGAGAACAGCACATTATGGAGTTGGGTAGTACCACACTTCGTCGACCCGAATCTGTGATGCAGTTGGCACGTCGTTTTGGAGAGATAGCCGCAGCACAAGTAGACTGGCCATCAAATTGATTTGACTTTAACTTTTTTTGCAGCAGAATGATATTCATAAGTCACGAACACGTTATATCGGGAAAGAAAATGGTTTTACCAATTCAGGTAGAAATCAATGTAAGTAATTACTCAATTAACTTTATAAAACCTTTTCTCTAGTATTTTATTCGAGTTGTGATCGCAGAGGAGGGTTCGGAAGTTTGAATGGAGGTGGGTGCTTTTGTTTGGAATATGAATAGTTTTCGGAGGAAATTTTATTGTTTTGAGAAGAAAATACTTTGTGTCATATGTTTTAGTGATTATTCAACACATACACAGGCAAAATTAGAAATAAAAACCAACTGAACCCTTCTTCATTTGGCTTCATAACAGAAAACTGTTGTTGATAATATCATGTGTCTTCGAGAACGTTTGTTTAAAGTGGCTTTTACTCTCGGAATCGCTGTCGTTTTAATGTGCAATAGCTTTAATACATCTATTACAAAGTGTAGAGATCGTTGACGCCTGCTCATTTATGTCTTAAAGCTCGCCAAGGTGCGTCTGAGAGAAAAGGCTAGGAAATTTTTCCTTTCTTGTGTGATTCCGGAACACTTATAAGTTCACTTATTCGTGCATTACTACTTTTAAAGTAACCCAGGAATGTATCATCTTCTAACCGAATAACACATGGTGTTCAGCTTTCACGTTTTCGTTTAAAAGTGATGTAGTCGGGTCTCTTCAAAACTGACAACCTTCTTTAACTTTTTCGTAATTTTCTCATTTCAGTTCCTGACGCGATGGCTTCTCGTCCTAATATTTTCAGACAGATGGATAAAGTTGGCTCTAGGTTGATATTCTGCATACCCGAGTTGTACTAATCACTTTTTTTCAGCAACTCGACTGCACCACCAAGGGTTCTGAACCCAAATTCTATCAAGGACGCTTTATTACGATGGGTTCAAAGTCGTGTGAAAGATTATCCAGTATGTTTCAGCCTTTCTAACTCTTAATCTTGTACAATTAGGTAAATGTTACGAACTTCTCATCTTCATGGGCTGACGGAACAGCATTTTGCGCTTTAATTCATAGATTTGCTCCAGATGCTTTTGATTTCAACAAAATCGATCCACGGAATAGAAAAGAAAACTTTGATCTTGCATTCAGGATAGCAGAGTTAGTTTCCATCTAGCTTTCGGTTACCTCTAGTTATCTTCAAATTTTATCACGTGTTTTTCACAGTTTGGTTTCTTTCACGTGTTTGTATCAAAACCCGCTCACACGAGGTTGCAATCTAGTAAATTGATACATTTTAGGGAGCAAGGAATTTGTCCTCTTTTGGAAGTAGAAGACATGATAATGATGGGTGATCGTCCTGATTGGAAATGTGTGTTCACATATGTTCAAAGTTTTTACAAACATTTCAAAGACCGAGAATGATCACAGAACGTTAGAAACATCAACTGTATTGCTTTAAAGTCATCATGAGACTTCTCCAAACAATCTTTCTGATTTGTTAGCAAATCACATCTTCAGATTTTTACGTTTTAAATGACTAGTCATTACTGAAAATTACTCTTCTGCGCAAGGAATTCTTTCTTTCTATCAAGATTCTTTCAAAATGTCAATGATATATTTATGAAAAAAGAAATAACAATAACAATAAAACAATGAGAACAGACGTTTAATTCTTCATTTCTTGAGCCACAACCACTTTAGGTCGTTTCTTTTCTCGTACCGGCCTATGCTTTATATGGTTGTTTGTCCAAGGCCCAGTAGACTCGTTTGAATAATAATCCATTGGATAGTAATCGGTAGGTACGACAACCTATTTTCATCGAAAGAATAGATTTGCAAGCTTGGCGCAATATACCTCTTCCAATGCAACAGCTAGCTCGTAAGGAGACAACAATGGCTTCCCAAATTGAGCTCCCCAGTCGATAGACAGGCGAGGACAGGCAACTTGTACCCAACTAGGAATAACTTCATCAAAGCTATCTTCAATTCAGCTCACCAATCAATCTCTTTGAACAGAGCCAGCTTATCAGGGAAAATTTCTGATAGAAGTACGCGGACAAATTTCTTTCCTTTACTGACTAGTTTAGCTTCTAATTCCTACAATAAAAAGACTATGATTATGTTGGTTGTAGGGAGCTACCTCAGCAATTTTTATATTACCTTGTCTTCCCAAAGTTCCCTGAATCAGGCCGAAATAAGTAGCCTTTTGAGCTGTTTTTATAGCATCTTAACATTTCATTCATTTAACTGTCCAAAGGAGGTAAAACATGCCAGATCTGATAGACCTCATTTTCGGAAAATCGTACTCTTCTCTTGTCAGTTTTCTTGCATAAGGATCGTATTGAAAAGCAGGAATAGAAGGATTGTGGATCATTGCTGATTCCAAATGAAATCGGCCGTCACCAACATAACTATAAGTTTGAAGAAAACATAGTTTTTGATGAATTGCGTATCGAAACCCACATCAAAGCCTGTACGTCGGAGGGTAAACGTGGAGAAGTACATCCTAAAACTTCTCCTGGACTTAGCGGTTTGGCTTGAGGTAGCAAAATATCAAAACCACTCTCGACTAGATTTTTTTTTATAGTCTGTAAAATTGACAAATCGATCTGAACTAGATCTATTCACCTTACATGCAACGACGGTATGAACTGAATTGTGCTGATTAGAGCGATTTTCTTTCCCTTTTCGAAATTGTCTATTAAGCAACTTAGCAGATGTGATAGATTGATATCGATATTCACGAATATATAAAGCATATGAATGCCTTCCGTGTTCTGTATCGGTACAAGACAACTATGGCCATAATGTACAAGTAAATCACAACCTGGGAATGTTTCAGTTGCATTATTTCTTTTTGAACTTACCGAGCATCTTGGCCGTATAGTCATCAACGCAACAAGCTCCATAAGTAACATCGCCCATAATTATAGTTCTACACCCAGTATGTTTCTCCAAAATGTCGGAAATCAAACAGGCATACATGGTTAGCCCTTCAGGGAATTGTAAAGCCACTATAAAATGTTTGATAATTACTTTAACATTTCAACAGATATCACTCACCAAATTTGGCATCTGTGGTTCGTATCTTCCATATAGTTTTCGGTATTTCAAATGTGTAGTTCCTTGGTAACTTAAATTTGAAATAGTTCAGTATTAGAGAAGAATCTCACAATTTCTAAGTCTTTTTGCAATATGGGATCAGCAGCAATTAATTCCAATTGAGCTGCAATTTGTGAAGCCATCGGTTTATTTATAAGTTGAAGTCTAAAACGACTATTAGCATTATCTAATTGCAATATATAAAGGCATTTCTGAACGAACGAGCAAATAAATGTACTTTACGTACGCAAAGTTGCGTTAACCTTCAAATTTGAATAAGCTTGTTATTTGTTTATGAGAGATATTACTATAATTTTTCTGTAATTCTCAAATGTTTCTGTTTTTATCTGTTAAAGATCTCGTATGCTGAATGTGAACTCATTTTATGATCATTTAGTTATGTATTTCTTTGTTGTCGTTAGCTTGGCAATTAGAAGAAAGATCCAAACATTTTAAAATTAATACTTCATAGGATGTTAAAATCACAACGACCTCTCTTATCATGGTTAGGAGAGAGAGAAGTTTTCTTCATTCATGTAAAGCATTCCATTTATGGTATTACAGGCGGGATCTCGGTTTCCTTTGAATAAACAGATGGTTTATCAAATGGAGCTGTACCGCTCTGATCTTGCAGACTACATTAGGGATATTGAGTATGTTACAGTTCAAATTCCACAACCGATACATTTATAATAGATCTTACGACAACCGAGTGAGACTACTCAACTTTTCTCCTCGTGATAGTTGGGTCGTTGGGGAGATTGAAGCTCAGAATAACTACCTATTTGAAAACTCACGGACAATAATTATCATCATGAGATTAACAAACTATACTTGCATTCCGTTATATGTGTCTTATAACAAAGGTTAATTTCATTTCATATACAAGTGTATCTGAATACTTTAGACTTTGCATATGCTCGAACATACTTTTCGCCCAAAGAAGAAAACCTAATCGTTATTTTTTCATTACTCAGGTTTCCGTCTACCACGCTTTAAAACTATAAATGTGTGTTCAGAACTGATCTCAAAGCTGCGGGTTCTACTGGAACACATTCTTCCACTGCTCAACTGAATGTCATAATTCCTTATTTGGGTATCAAGCTTCGTTTTGTAATAGGTGTTCATTTGATTGTGAGACGGGTACAGGGACGCAAGCAGGATAAGTAGAGAGTTCGCTTTTTTTCGACTTGGTAGCTTATTCTTTTAGAAGCTATGTCTATATGGGTGTAAATGAATTTGCTTTTAATACGGGTACTCAACTGGTTTTCTTCCGCATTTTGAGAAAACCAAAAGAGAAAACTAACTGTAAAAATGTTTGTTTATGTTACCAAAACTCTTACATCTCATATTCTTAGGCTTTTTACATAACCAAGAAGAGAGAACTTCGGAGTGTGCATGTTTCTCAACCCGTCTTATTCCAAGTTGACATCAAAAGTAAGAGAAACGAGTATAACTTCACTAACAGAAAAGAAGGTAAGTTCTTCTAATCTGTGTTCCTAATCAGAGATCAATATAGACGCGGACGTATGGATTGCGTACCATATCTTTGATCCTGAGAAAGCTGCGCTACGTATTGTATGTGAAGCCGTGAAAAAACTAACTGCCAAGGGAGAATATTATCAAGTGAGAAGGATAATAGATCATGAGGTAATGTCAACTCTTTCTTCGAGTTATCATACCCGATTTCTTGCAGACTGATGTACTATCAATTATTAACAATTGTCTTGAAATATGCATGAGTGTTGTTGTTGAAGTTCATGATGACAACTTAGTTCAAACTTATTTTAATTATGAGATTATGCTGTGCTGGTGAGCTGATTAGGTAATACCTTTACTGAATGTTCCCAGGAATGCTATCAATAACAAGTTGGACGTTTTTTCCGCTAGACGTAGAGGACTTGTATCACAACAACAAGCCTTTCGCAACACTTGGTATCCTCACAGAAATCCATTCTATAAAAGGAACTTCATAGATAATGGATGTTAGAGTTTTTTTTGCTATTTTGTTCTGGAATCTCACACTTTCAGCTGGCGATCAAGATGAATTCGACGAAAACGCCTGCTCTACAATCTCCTCGAACTGTACTGGGATAAAAATCGTGTACTTTGACAACAAGAGCCCTCCTAGTAGAGATGTACTTCTGAAATGGGAACGAAGTCGAAAGCAACAGCTTGACTAATACTTTTCACAGCTTCTGTATCAACAGTTAATAAACAGAAAACGTTTTATCGCTATCCCGATTCTCTCAATCAAAGAGTCTTGTTCTCTTTTCTATCTTTTTTGTCTCGTTACGGTTTCACTTTGTTTCTTTCTCAGACTTTTATGTTGTAATGGATGAACAAGAAGAGCCAACTGTAGGTGAAAATCCTGATGTTTCTTCAGATGGAGGTAATATAAACTGTTATTGAAGTAATATACATATGTTTCAGTTTTCCACCGCCTGCGGAACTCGAAAAAATTCATAACATTCGGTGTTCTGTTCTGTGTGAACCTGTTGAACTATATGGACAGATTCACTATAGCAGGAGTTTTACCTAGTTTGAAAGCGTACTTTGATATGAATGATCAACAAGCCGGAATCTTACAGGTAATGATGCTTTCACTGTCCTCTCTTCAATGAAGTATTTTCAGACTGTTTTTATAGTGTTTTATATGGTTTGCGCTCCTGTGTGTGGTTATTTAGGAGACAGAACTAATCGCTTGCACATCTTATTCGTTGGATATCTTATTTGGATATGTGCAGTCATGCTCTCCACCTTTGTGGGCCAAAATGTAATTTATCGTATTTCACTTTCTAATATTGTAATACATTTCAGAATTTGTTTCTTTTTATGTTGCTCAGAGGAATTGTAGGAGTAGGCGAATCCTCTTACTCAACTGTTGCTCCTTCTATCATAGCAGATATGTTCACAGATAGAGCACGAAGCATATCGCTTATGATTTTCTACTTCGCTATACCTGTTGGCAGGTTTGTCCGTTTGACTTGCAGCATTTTCTGTTCTATTTGTCTTTTAGTGGATTGGGGTACATTGGAGGGTCATCGATATCTTTTCTTTTTGGTGGATGGCAAGCAGGAGTTCGGTAAGATATCATAGTTTCACACAAAATACATATCCTTCTGTTTAAGGTTCACTGCTTGTATAGCTGTTGTCTTGATCATCCCTCTTATTTATTTTGTTGAAATACCAGAAAGAGGAGCAGCAGAACACGCTGATCAACTAGATGCACATGATGGAGGGCTTCTGTCCGATATTCGATATCTTCTTACAATGTAAGCATCGTGATTAATGAGTTACTCACGAACTGTTCAGAAAAACTTACATCTTTTCTACAATTGGATTCACTTGTGTCATATTTGCTGTGGGATCTTTGAGTTGGTGGACACCAACGTTGATGGGATATGCTTATGGACGTAATGGAGCTATGAGCCCTGGAGATTATGCTGAGTAAGTTTTGCGAAGTTATGATACTATCTTCTTCTTACATAGGATTTCTTTGATATTCGGGGGAATCACTTGTGCCGCTGGAATTTTCGGAGTACTCATAGGGTCATCATGGGCTCAAGCTTGGCGAGAAGGAAAATGGGGATTACAAAAAAAGGAAAATGCCGATGCATATGTGTGTGCAGTGGGCTCTATGCTGACTGTTCCTTTACTTTTCTTTTGTCTTGTGTTTGCCAAATATAATATAGTTACCTCTTGGGTGAGATTTTCATTAGTTTTGTAGTGATTAAGATTTTTCAGGTTCTAATGTTTTTGTCAGTTACTTGTATGTGCTTAAATTGGTCTGTGAATATGGACATGCTCATGGTATGTTTTTCGGAGAGTTCTTCGCTTACCTTGTTGTTTTCAGTACGTTACTGTGGCTAACCGTAGAGCTACAGCTACTGCTATACAAACGTTGTTTTCCCATTTATTAGGAGATGCTTCATCACCTTATGTAGTCGGATTGATTTCTGATTCGATTAAAGGTTCAGTATTTTTTTTTCCGTTACCCTTATATCATTTGTTAAGGCGATCGAACCGATTTGGACATGCAGTTCTTTGCTCTTCAAACCGCCTTGTTTGTCCCTATTTTCCTTCTTGTTTGTAGTGGAGGTTTCTACCTTTTCTCCGGACTGTATGTATCTAAAGATCATAGAGAAGCAAAATTCATGATGACAGGTAAATTTTATATGCAATCGACATATTTACCAACTATTTGTAGGTGTTTGGGGAGAGCAGGAAGACGATATGGAAACCTTGATTAGTCACAGTGATAATGAAGATAATACCTGACGGTATCTAGAGGAGGATCAAAATGAGGAAGTGAGTGTCTGACTTCGGTAATCTTACCAGTGTTCTATATTCTAGACAAATCAAGTTTATTCTGGTCTTGGCTTATCCATGCTTCCCGCAGTCATTCGTTTTGATTCCTCACAATTCCCGCTTAGTCCAAACGCTCCACAAGAATTATTACATGTGGATAGTTCGGAATTGCCTGACGCAGAATCTGATTCTTCTTCAAGTTTATGACTTCATTTTGTTTCATTTCTTTTTCTTTGATCGGGTAATTAATTCGTGCCTAAGGCTCTCACGGGAATTTTGATCCTTCTCTCTTTGCAAAGCTTAGATATGTACATAGAAATGTCTATATTTGTAAATATAAAATTTATTTTGCTCCTCTAGTGTTTGTTGCTCTTGGTACTCTATCCAGCTTTTGTATCGTTCGACCTTTAGCGCCAATTAGTTGAAGGTTCTTTTCATAGGTTCTAAGCTTCTTTATTCCCAAATTGTTGGTGAGGTCGCAGGTCATTGTATTGTCAATGCAGCGAAGAAAATCAGGTGACTTTTTTTTCTGTTTTCTGTTTCATATTTTTATCTTCAGGTTCTTATGGGGAAATTACTCTGCAAAACATTAAATCATGTCTTCATCGATTGACTGTTAGAATTGATGAGCTTATATTCACAGAGCATTCCGAGACAATTGTTAATGCTCTGAAAAGAGGAGAACTGTTTGGGTGAACAGAGGGTTTAGGTTTTTTTTGAAACTGAGTTCGTTTCAGTTTCGTTTTGAGGTACAAAATCCCCACTCCTCCCAATTCGACTAATCAAAGCTTGAAGAATGAAATCATTGTTCGAAGTGTGCTATATAACGAGTCGGAGATTAAATTCAAACACAAGAAGGTTCGAAAAGCAGTGAAGACGACACGAAAACTTTTGCAGGTTTTCTCAATTGAACTCAATGATGAACTCATAAAGTGTTGGCAGCAAAACCCTATTCACGTCACCCTGACAGCGGAGATCTCTAAAACTGCTGAGAAACATGACGTACGAATAGTACCCATATCATATCAAACAAAAAAATGATTTCAGGCTAAACTTCAGTTACTCTGCCACACAACTGTTTCTTTCCGGGATCTCCTACTATCTCCGTTTAAGTTAATCAAAGACCACAGTCTATTTTCTTCTGAATTTGAAGGCTTACTCTCAGTAATATGCTCGGAACTTCTCTGTTTAATCTTCATTCCTCTTCAGATATGCTTAGAACTTGGATCTCGTACCTCTAATGTAAATGAAAGACTTGAAGCTCTTCGACAAGTCTCCTTAGACAATACTTATACTATTCAAAAGTAAGATTGATCTACTAAATACCTTTTTACGATATTATCAATAAATATTCAGACCTCCAAGACATTCTCGCTCTCGTAGTGCCTCTAGGTGTCGCTCTTGCAGTCCTCAAAGAGAACAAAAACGATTGAACGCTGTATCTCATATTCCTAAAGAAAGATTTGAATTATCTCGTGAGGGTGATCAGAAGTATTAAATTAATTTTTCCATCTTAGCCATAGCGCGAAGCTCCTTGTCACATGACGTGCATGATGAGAAACAATATATATCAACATCAAGCTTGAGTAATGACTCCGTATTTGTTTTGGAACCGAATCAAAATCTTCTGAATACACATGAATCCCGTACTCTATGGATGAATCTCTCCTTGCATGAGGCTCATGACTTGCCTTTGGTCAGAGATGAAAGGTTTGAAGCTGCTCATATGTCTAATCCTGATAAATTGTTCCAGTGGCGCACTCGTTGCTCCAAGAGCTTTCATCAAAATTTTATCTAGAAATGAACAGATTCAATCTCCGGTTTCTGCTCCATCGCGAAATCCTAGGTTTGGCTTTGTCATTATCCCTTTCACCATCATTCTTCCCAGATGGAATTGGTCAGGGCAGTTCGTATTCAGTGCTGAACGAGGCAACCTAGTAATCAAAATGCTTCACAGTCGAGCTGATGGTCAAGTAAGCATTCCATATTCAATTTTGTGTTCCTATCCTGCAGGTCGAATCACTCGGAATGGTCACTCTCAACAGACCCTTCCATGATTTCGAGAAATCTACCTTCGAGATTACAATTCTTACTCCTCAAATGCAAGGCACAGCCACTGTGACGGTAAATGTTTTGTGTCATCAGTCAAGAAAACACGACTCGTTGCAGATGTCACTAAACGTTCGTCCATATAGAGAAAGAGCACCAGTGGAAAACAGAAAAGAAAGATCTGCCAGCGAAGCAACGTCAAGAAACTCTTACTCAAGTAGTATAGGGAAATCAGAGGTACTGATCTGTGATTTGCAAACAACTATACTTCTTTATTTCCAAGAGTGAAACTCTACGCTGGTCTGGATCTAAAAGAAATCCACGATTGATATTAACAACTAGACGTTCACTAAGCTCTTCTCGTAGCCCTGAACCACGAGAAGATACTAGTCATTTGTTGAAGTAAGATACAATAATGCCTACTTTGAACAAAAACTGATTTCAGAGAAAACTTGCAGCAGTTGGAAAATTTGATGCAATCAATTCGTCATCGAAGATGAACAACTAAGAATCATATAATACTGACTTTAAAAGTGTACATGAATTGTATTATAAACTTCCTGTAACAAAAATTAAAATCTTATTTTTCTCTGTTCTCTTGACTCTGACGGCTTACCACAGGTCTTGTATATATCTTGAGCTTATATGTACAATCAACTTTGAAAGTATGTATAGATATGAAGATAAATGACCTTTCATCAAGGGTTCACATTAGCGAGTTCTTAATGCATAGACAGAGAGAGTTTGTTGGTCTCAGTATTTCTACGCTCTAGCGCTAGTCTCTGGCTGTCTGATTCTCATCTCACTGTGGACCAAGGCGAAATGAAGAAAGACCAACACACGCGTATACGTCCATGGTTCCTCTAATTTTTTCAATTTATTTTTTTAAAGAAATCCCTATTTATGCATTACGAAATTCATAATATGTATTGCCTCGAGTTGTGTCTTATTTTGAAATATACTTTGCGCAGGAGCGGTTGTGTTGCGTCGCGGTTGCGCTTCAAGCATTTCCTAACTCGCTGTAATAAGACTTAATTCTTTCGTTCTCTTCAGTCTTTTTTCTTAAATCGTTCACTTTCTTTTTCTTTGTTTTTATGTTTTTTTCCCAACTAGAATAGTTTAAGATCTCATAACTTTTTGATTCTACACACATAGGAGCCTGAGGGTTCCATTTCTTTGCCGCTGTTTTCTTGTGCACGTCTCAACTTTTCAACGGCAAATTGATTTTTTTCAGATATTCGCATAAGGTCAATAACACTAAAACTTTTTTGGTTTTTTTCAACGTTTACTGCTCTTAGCCGTTTCTCTTAACTTTGCATACGGAAAAATAGCAGAGAACTACATATTAAAAGGTTTCAGTCGAATAGCTTCTTCAAAAGTGAGTCCCCCTGCTGTATTTAAATTATTAATTTGTGTTTAGAATGTCGTCTTTGGCTTCACAGCGCGCTATGCTGGCAGCCTTAGGTGGAATGTCAATTGCTGCCCTGTTTGTGTGGTATCTCCGTTCCCAAAACGCTGATGAGAAGGTATAATTACGAAAAATTCATTAGACATGAACACTTTTATTCTTAGGCTCAACAGCGAAGTGAAGTCACTAGAGAGCTTTTGACTAGTGAAAATGGAATAAAGAATAGTGCCAGAAAAAACACTGAAACTAATGGAGTTCAAGCGAAGGCCGCTGAGCCGGTGTCTTCCGAAAAAGTGAACAAAACTTCGGATTCGCAGAACGTCGAGAAGACAAACGTTGCTGCTGAAAAAAACGGAACTGATTCAAAAACAAGCGTTGCTTCTGCTCCACGAAATGTGAGTGGTTTGTCTTTTTGTTTTCTTGATTTCCTCTCTTGTTCTCTCATTCTTCATATTTTTTGCCTCTTTAGGATATTTACATTCGAATGTTGTCACATGACGACTTCGCATTGACTGCATAATTGAAAATGTGATAGCTCTCGTTGAAGCTCTGGAGCTATCATAGTGTTTTTTGATAGCAAGCTTAGTCCTTGAAAAAATTCGAATATTCTATATATTTTCTCTTATTCTTGCTGAATTTTTTTTTTTAATTTAATAATTTATTTGGGTCTTTTTTTCAGAATTCCGAAGAAGTTCACGACGAAATTGCCGAAAATGAATCTGTGAATGCATCCAATGAGCTTGCTGAAAAAGAATCGATTGAGGTATTGTCGGTACTCTTTATGGAGAACATTTTGAATTTAGACAACTTTAAATATGGCGCCAATGGAGACCACGGAACATTCTTCAATTTCCGAGGAGTTTGTTATCAAAGAACAGGTTAATAAAAACGTTTTATCTTTTGACCATCACTGTTACGAAGTACAATTATGACACTAAACTTCAATTTAGTCCCCGAGAAAAAAAACCTCGGAATTGATCTTGGATTGTTCTACACACACATTATTGGAAAACGAAAAAGTCGAATTCTTGTGGGCTGAAGAAATGGAACGGTAAGCTGAATTTATTCTTTTGTTTAACTTGATTCTTTTTTTAGAAGTTATGCTGAACAAGCGGAAAATGATCGTATGAACCAAGCAACCTATACAGAGAGCGGTTCACCAGCCAGCAGTGAAGACTCAATGGTTAGTTGAAATTGCTTAATGATTTTGAAGTCCCTGTGTGAGTCTGAAAGAAGGCAACTGTTGCACTTGTGAAGAGATAAGCAGCAGCAGCAAAACCGTATGAGTCGTTCCTTTACTGGCTTTTAAGAGAGCGAACGCATTGTTAAAAATTTCTACGAATGAAAATATTCGAGCCCCTCGGCCCTCATTGCTAATCGATTCCCCCGTGTGCAAATCAGAGTCGTGGGTCAAAAGCTAGTCGACATGCTTGCACTTATATGATTTATATGCCCGTTGTTCAGTGGTGACAACCAATGTTGCTAATCGTTTCATTCACAAGCCATATGCTATCGATTGATTTCATTTAGCTCATATAAAATTGTTAAGAAAAGATATGCTCCAATTCGAAAAAAATTTTCCGCTCATGTATATATTTTTATTCTGTCATATATATATATATCTATGTATATAGAAGAATGAATAAAAAGAGAGGGAGGAAGAGATAGGAAGGTATGGTTATCGCAATCAGATGAATAGTGTAATTGATGGGAGATTTGTTTGCCAATAGTAGCCTTATGATAATGATTAAATTTTTTGATAACAGCTACGTATTATCAGCCTATGTTGCCATTGTCGCACTTCCTAAAAGGCAAGTGTCTGGTGTTTATTGATCGATTGGCAAACGGAGAGATAGATTATATTTCGAAAAAGTTCGTATTTCTTCCCTGAAAATGACGTGGTTGGCTGTGGGGGGGGAGAGGGTCAACCTGTGTCTCTGTGTTTGCCAGCGCTCAGCTGTTATCATTACTGAAACTGTGTGATCGATCCAATCTTCCGGTATCGATTGAATCGCGTGCGTGTGACTCTTGGTAAACTTCCGACAGTATTTGAAATTTGAATTTTATGCCGAGCGCAGTTTCTATAGATCCAATTAATACGAAAGTATAAGATAACCAGCTGTTTTATCTTGTTCTGTCTGAACTTTTGTCCTTTCGCATGCCCAGCCTTTTTTCTCTGGTTCTCTCATCCTGACATTATCTTACATTTGCTCGCATCGCTCTAACCGTCTGCGCATCTCATCATCTCATTATCTCTGTCTGCATAATGAATGTCTGGCATCTCTTCATCTTTTCAATCTCATGTTGCTGACTCCGCCCTCCACATAGGTCGCCAACCCTTTCTTGCCTATCTGTTGCCCGCATCGCCTTTTAGCCACATTTTCGTGATTTCGATCATGTTTATGCGGCCTGCGGTGCTACATCCTTCACTATTACCTACTCATCTTCCTCCTCCTCAGATATTCCCAATTAGTGCTATTCCATCGGGCTTTTCAGTCCCACCTCCGCCTTTTCCAATTCCGTGTCTCGTGGCTCCGCACGTGCAGCAAGCACAACCAAGTAGACCACAATCTCCGCGAAGATTGCCTGTAACAATTACTCCCTTACCTTCTCCCTCGCAGATACGAAGGCACAGCTGCGGCTCTTCAGCTCGTTCAAGTAGCTGTGCTGCAAGCACTTCTTCTAATCACCAAAGTGAAACTGTAAGTTTGCAGACTTATCTGTTTGGTTGTGCTGCTAATGTGTTAAAAGTGTCAATCTCGATGTTAGTTTGTTCGGGTTAGCCAATGTTAGATATCATCTACGGTAAAACCTGATCACCAAGGACTCATATGGAGAGAAAAGGAGAGCGAAAGAAAATGAAACATAAATGTCATAATGAATAGCGATTAATAATTAGTGCTTCTTTTGACTTGAAAAAGTTTTAGAACTGATTTCTTATTTTTACCTAATTTAGGGATCTTCACAAGATTCAGGAAGAGCTACTGGTGGCTTAGCTTCCTCACTCTCACCCATGGATGATTGCAATGACGGACTTCCGATGTATGAATTTGAAATTCCAAATTCTTTGGTCGGTTTAATTATTGGAGTGAAAGGAAAAACAATTAAGGTACAATGGTACTTTTGATCTCGGGTTACTTTTTTTTTCAAGGAGTTAAGTACACGAACAGATGTGAAAATGCTAATCAGGCCACACCATGCTCCTGAAAAGAGCGATTCTCATCAGATTTGTCAGGTATTCCTATTGATTCTCATACCTTAAGTATCATGTGTTCTCAGGTGCGAGGAAAACGTGATCAAATCAATAAATGTCTCCAAATGTTGAGAAGAAGGTTTCCAAATGAGCGCTTCCCTGAATTAAATTTACAACCTGTACTTCCACCTATACTCCCAACCTCATTGTTCGATGCTTTGACAGGCCAACCAAGCTGGGTAAGTCGAAAATTCTTTTTTTTGGTTGATCTTTTCTATTACAGCTGTCTTTACCTGAAAATGTTTCATGCGAAGTAGTCTGTTCATCCATTACTGACCCAGGCCATTTCTTTGTACAGCAACCAACTCATCCATCTTTTCCCTCTTTAGCCGTTCTCGATAGATATATGCTTATTCTGTACAGTAGTGGAACTTCCATACCTGAATTGCCCAAACCTTGCCAAAGTGAGTTGTGTTAAAGAATTTTTTAACCTCATAGTAAAATTCAGACGGCCTCCTATGTGCTGCTCCAGTCTTGGGCGCATGGTTCAGAGCTGTCACTGTAGCCTATTATGAGGAACCTGATGAGGTTCTTGTTAGATTTGTAGATTATGGAGGCTATGAGACGATTCCCCGGGGTGACCTCAGACAAATCAGGTAAGGAAATAGTGTTATTATAAGTGCTTATGCAAATGATATTCAGAACGGATCTTATGTCTCTCCCATTCCAAGCTACTGAGTGCCACTTGGCCCATGTCCAACCCATAGATGGTACCATTTTTTAATATTAGTTAATCTATATATGTGCATTATAGGTACATCACAATGGCCTGAAGAGTCTCTACAGTTTTTCCATGAAATTTGCATGGGAAAGATTGTCATAGCTACCGTTGTTGGTACACACGTAGAAGACAAAATGCCGATGGTCGAAATTGTAATTAATTCTGGAGACGACGGAAAGGTTTGATGACTATACTGATTCACATTATTAAGTGTTTTTAGGCTGTTCGGTTAGATGAAGCGTTAATGTCTGCAGGCTTCGCCAAAGCATCCGATCCATCTAAAATGTCACGATTTTCAGTAAAACGCCCCTCTTTCAATGCTCAACAGTCCACCGTAATGGTTTCTTAAAAATTGTTATAATATTTTTTAGTAGCGTAGAACTTCACTGAATTTAGTTACATCTAGTATTGTTGTGTTTATGGTTGGTTGTTCTTTCGGTTTTGGTTATTTCCTGTTATCGTTTTCGGTCTCTTCGGCCACACTCGTTACTTTTTGATATGTTAGGTACACTGTTGATGTACATTTCTCCCGGTAGCGCCAGCGAAAGTTGCCTTTCTCTTTTTTAATTAGATTTCAATAGATTTTTAAAATTACCTCTAAATATCATTAATTTTGTTATTTGTTGACAGATGCCCTATTACTGTTCTCGATCTACCTACATTCTACCTTGTTTTTCTATGTTATAGCTCATAGAGGATTCTCTTTGTGCTCTATTATATCTTTTTTAAATTTGCCAGTTTGCATTTTATTATTAGCGATTGGCCGAACGGTCCCTTAACGGGGTTCACTGGATATGATTCCAGTACAATGACATCTTATCATTTTGTAAAATTGTATCGATTATATGTAGATTGTTTCCTTTTCCTTTAAAGAGTTCGGCTTTCATATCAAGTCAATAAAGCTAGATTTCATCTTTGCGTATCCCTTTAACATTCATATATATGATTGCGCTTTCTTTCATATTTTCGCTTTAATCTCCAACTTTTATAGCTAAGCTAGAGATGTCTTCAAAAACGAAACTATCATGTGAAAAACAGACTCCATTTCAAATAAGGGCAAGAGAACTGTACTACTAACGATTCTTTGTTTGTGTGAAAGAAGGTGGCTCTAATGCAACATGTGAATCAGTGGGGGAAGTTGTGGTAATTAGTAATTTAAGATTGTCCTAACCGGGAAAATCATTATAGAGGTCATGAATTGGTGGTATGTATCGTGGGATGATTATTATGTTCTCATTCATTACAAAGCAAAGCATTGCATTTGTTGAAAATGATTTACAGCTCTGAAAGAGTTCTCTGTGACATTGTAAACAATTGTATGACTCTGAAATTTGATAAAAAGGTCAATAACACAATATGAAACTTCTTAAGATATTCTGCATTTGTCTTGGTGCAGGGACTTCTTACCATTTATGAATGGAATTCTAAAGTTCGTCGTAACAGCTGTGCTCTGTATTCAAGAAAATGTATTTTTTGATCATCAAATGCGTAAATTTTCGAAATATCAATTGTACGTTGAATTAGTAGGTATATTTTCTTTCTTACCCTTCTCTCACTTTCTAAAAAAGCGGTCTTTTGTCTGTAAGATATCGAGTTCTAGCGTGTTTTCATTTTAGAAGTCCTATGCTTACAATAATATTGTCTCGTATTGGAAGACGTGCAGAACGGTTGCTTCAAATACAAACTGTAGAGATCAAAGAGTTGTTGAGATTCTTCGAATGAATCACTTCTTTCTCTTCTTACGGTTATAATAACAGGATCGAATGTTCTGTCGGCAGGATTGCTTTATGCATAAAAATTTCCGGGGTGATAGATATAATAGAAATATTTTATTGCACGAACGCATTTGCCATTGTAACTCAATAAAAGGATCAACGTCGACGGTTTTACAGCAACTATTTCATATGGATCATAACGGTATCCAAAACCTTTGTTTCCTTCTGTCATAATCCTATTACAGATTAAATGTGTCAACTTGTGTTCCTATGCATTTCTAAAAAATATTCAAAGAATATAATTCCGCTGGATTGATGAGGGAAGCGTGTTTTTATGAATCGTTATATATTTTGATTAGTGTCGTTGAAATGGCACAAATGAAATAAAATGAAAATCAATCAATATGTGACTGATCGTAAAATGTGTCAGACAGCTAGCTTCTCATGCACCTAGTCTGCACTTTTGCTTTCCTAAATGTTGCGTATTTCGAGCGTCTAATCGAAGATTCCATCTGCGAGCAGACTTTTGTTCTGTTTGCTCTGCTTCAATAGTAACAGCACGTGCAAACAAAGGAACAATGAAACCTTCCAATGAAAAGTGAGTGTTTTTATTTTGAAAGCCATCAGTTATTTTCATCGTTTTTCCTAATCGACAGTTTTTTTAACGATACATGCTGATAGTATTTCTAAATTTTCAAAAATTATTACGTGGGTACATTATTTCCTTTCTGCGGTGTCTTTTCGATCGGGAACAGGTTACTGATGATCTTTCCATGTCTGCGTACGCTTCATGAAGATCTTATCTATTGAAAGTTTTGGTTAGAATTTTCAGAAATTTCACTTTCTTGGAAGCTATCCTAACAATCGTCATTATTATCCATATTTTTAGTATGAACAGTTTTGGCAGCGAGCATTGATAAGAAGTCACTCAATTAGAGAAAGCAAACATTGGCTTATCTCAAAAACACGTGAGTAAGACTAGACAAGTAAACAAATTTCAATAGCTCCCGATGACTTCTATGGCAGATTATGCTCTTTATTTTCATCATATAGATAAAAAAGAATTAATATAGAACAACATAAAGACTGAGTTGGGTCCCAACATTTTTCAGATTGATAGCATGGTTTTAGATTTCAACATGTCTGTTTGGTTTTTTTTCATCTCTTACAAGGAACAAGGCAGAGAGTTCTCCAGACTACACTGTTTTTTCATTGGTAAACTTTCGACTAGATAGACTGTAATTGAGAAGCGTCTTTTGTATGTGACTACTGCGTTCTTGAAATGAGTTTGCGTAAACGACTACTACCTCATTGACATTCATTGCGTTAATGAGATAGCAGTCTTTCATGTGACTTTATTTACCTATTTTTGCAGCTGTTGCTGTTATTACCACATGTACTTCTAAGTGAAGAATTCAGAGGTTATTATGTTTATCATTTTAGAAATTGATACACCTTGGGAGTTCCTTGTAAACTCGATCCAAATTTATGGATGGTAGATTTATAACCTTATTATTCTCGTGTTTCTTCAGGTATAGTTGTTCAGAAATGAAAGGGATTGAGGAACGAGTAGCTTCAATTATTTTTCAGACGTTCTTTTCAAAAAAGTAATCTTTCGGAAAGGTCACCAAGTCAATCAACGGATCTGTCAAGCATCTCACCAAGTTCAACAAGTATTATTAACCTGCTCATCACGAATTTGTTTTGTTTTATGAAACATTAATCTATGTCACCAGAACCAGTTAACTCACATTCACGCGTTCCTCAGAAACATTTTCCACATTTAGGTTTTACACTCTGATCAAAATTGACCGAATACATAACGCAGAAGAGTTAGGTTCCAGAAAACAATGCGAGGTAGAATAGTCGAACATGTCGGCGGTTTTCATCGTTTGTGACGAAGGTAGAAGTAAAGATTCTCCGTGAAATGTGAACAGTTTTGTTGAGGAAGCAAAACTCGATAAGGATTTCTGAACAATCCGGTTAGGTTGTTGAAATCATATTGTTGGAACCCATGATGAGTTCACACCTTGGAGTTTTGAATCGTTAGTGGGAACACTGATCAATGCCTTTGGGAAAACTTTGAAATGAAGGGCTGTATAGACGGATTGCGTAAAAGAAATCTTATGAGAAAGTAGTCGTCATAGGTTACAAGCCAGTAACAGAATTAAAAGATGATTAAGGATGATAGAATGAAATACTCTAGGTTCTTCAAGAACACCTCAGCAAAAAAAATTCTGATAGCTCAGGGAAAGCCATAAGTATGATTTCACTCCAAGACATGGTTTCAGTGGTACAAATGTTAAATGAAATAGTTCATCTACCCTTCAATCTACTTTGGCGATGAAAGAATTAGTCACATACTGTAATGGTTCTGCAGAGAAACAGATAAGGACTTCATAGTTCACCGAAAAAATTTCTCCTTGCCGAGATTATCCGGGATCAGCTTGTCGATATAATTTCCTGAGAGAGTTTAGTCGTCTTACATTGTTGATGAACGATTAGCATAACTTAATTCCTTCAAAGAAAATCAATATCTTTGCTTTGTTTTTCAATGGGAATTTATCAATAGTGGTTGTGTGTTTCATTCAAAGAACGATCATTCGAAAATTTGATGACATTGAGAACCTAGAACTATATAAGGATGTATTAACGCTTCCCATTACTTTCACACAGTTTGTTTACATGTCAGATTCTTATTGGAGTTCTTGTTATTACTGATTTCAAATTTCTTTTCGGCAAGCTAAATTTCCGGAAAATCACTGATTGTGTAATTTCTCGTTTTACGTATAGAATTTTTTTTTAACCGCACGTGTTCTCTTCAAAGAAAATGATGTATTGATAGTTTGTGTCGTTATCAAAGCTGGTCTTCTTTTTTATTCCTTCATTTCATCTAATCATTTGTTCTTAATTCATATTTTTATAGAAATGCTGGCACGCACGTCTTTCGTTAACAAGAGATGTTTCTCCATTTCTTCTAGAGCATTCAACAAGGTTCACTTTCTACAACTAATATAATATTAGAATACTGTTTAGGAAGTTGTTATTCTAGCTGCAGCTAGAACTCCAATTGGCTCTTTCCGGTCACAGCTTGGATCAGTTCCCGCTCCTCAACTTGCTAGTGCTGCCATTAAAGCAACTCTTGAGAGAAGTGGAGTAAAAGCTGACTCTGTTCAAGAAGTTTTCCTGGGGCAAGTTTGTCAAGCTAATGTTGGACAAGCTCCTGCTCGCCAAGCAACACTTGGAGCCGGTAATTTATGCTGATCAGTTACATTTAATATCTATTTTTTTGTAGGACTTTCCATTTCTACGGCTGTGACAACAGTTAACAAAGTGTGTTCTTCTGGTTTGAAAGCCATCATGCTCGCTGCTCAACAAATTCAAACTGGTCATCAAGATGTATGTCTAAGTCTGCTAGAGAAAACTATTCAAAAGTTTAGATTGTTGTTGGTGGTGGTATGGAGAGCATGTCTCAAGTCCCATTCTATGTTCAACGCGGTGATACCGGATACGGAGGCTTCCAAGTAATCGATGGAATCGTTAAGGATGGACTTACCGATGCTTATGATAAAATTCATATGGGTGTTTGCGGAGAAAAAACATCAAAAGATTTGGGCATTTCTAAAGAAGATCAGGATAATTATGCCATCAGCTCTTACAAAAAAGCAGCGGAAGCCTGGAAGGTATATTGTTGTTCTGTATATGATCATCTCACTGTCTTCAGAATGGTGCTATCGGTCCTGAAATTGTACCTGTGAATGTTCAATCACGTAAAGGAGTTACCGTTGTTGAAATCGATGAAGAATTCACAAAGGTTAACTTTGACAAGTTGAAGTCTCTCAAGACTGTTTTCCAAAAAGGTTGAATTAGGAGATCAATCGTTATCAGTTGGACTCTTTTTTTTTTAGATGGTACCATCACTGCTGGAAACGCCTCCACTCTCAATGATGGAGCAGCTGCTGTTCTCTTGTCCTCTGTTGAAGCTGCTTCCAAGCAAGGTGTCAAGCCTCTAGCAAAAGTCCTTATTAGTCTTGCAAACAATTTGAATTTTTTAATCTTTGCTGTAGGTCTTGGCTTATGGCGATGCCGCTACTTCTCCTGTTGATTTCGCTGTTGCTCCACCACTCCTCATTCCTAAGGTTAGTGTCAATTTTTCGGTATTCGTTAAATTCATCTTTCAGATGCTCAAAACTGCTGGATTGACTATTGATGACATTGATCATTTTGAAGTTAACGAAGCTTTCTCCTGTGTACCTCTAGCGTTTATTAAGAAGGTAAGTACGGCGCATTTTCGTTCAAAACGCTGCTGCTACAGATTGGTTGTGATCCAGCCAAGGTCAACCCCCACGGAGGAGCTGTTTCGATTGGTCATCCTATCGGGTAATTCACGTTTTTCTGTTTCGTCGCGTAGCAGTTTTTTTTCTAGAATGTCTGGAGCTCGTTTAATAACTCATCTTGTTCATGCCTTAAAGCCTGGACAAAAAGGTCTCGCTGCTATTTGCAATGGAGGTGGAGGAGCTTCAGGAATGATTATTGAAAAGTTGTAAACTGTGGTTTAAACTTTTCCCTTACTGCGGGGAAAATTAGTATGAATAGTGTTTTCGCCAACGCATTCCCCATGTCTCATGGCTACGGATCGTATCGGCTTCATTGTATTTATTTCTCTCGGACGACTGTTTTGTTTTCCGGATAGGTGCATTCTCTGTTTATTGGTTGTTCGTTGATAGTTGGTTAATAGAGTTTTATGTTTTATGTTTTTTTCGATAGTTTAATGGTGTTCTGCCTACACATATCTCTTGAGGTTTGAGATTGCAATTGAAGATTAATATATTTTCAGTTCTCAAGCGGCTATGTCCTCCTCTGATGTGAGTCTTATTTTCTTCTGCCTGTAGTATTCATTGAGTTTCAGAAAGTATTCATAGTGAGTGGTGTGAGAACGCCAATAGCTTCCTTCCGTGGATCGTTCGCTACTGTTTCTGTTGATCAACTTGGAGCTACAGTTGTCAAGGAAGCGTTGACACGCTCCGGTAACTAAGAAAAGATCTTCCGAAAAAACTCGTTTGTTTCAGGTGTGAGTCCAACTGAAGTAGAGGAAACATTGGTAGGATGTGTGCTCGCTGCTAACTGTGGTCAGAATGTAGCAAGACAAGTAGCTACAAATGCTGGTAAATATCCCGCTCTAGCTAATTCTAATGCCTGGTTTTAGATATTCCCTCTGACGCTCAAGCCGTTACTATTAACAAAGTATGTTCCTCATCCATGAAAGCTTTAGCTTTTGCTGTTCTCTCTATCCGTAGCGGATATAGGAAACGAGTTGTTGTTGCTGGTGTCGAGAATATGTCTCAGGTATAAGTTCTGTTGTTTGTTTTGATTTCTGATACTTCTACTCTAGACCCCTTATTACCTTCCACGTGGCGAAACACCTTATGGTGGAATCAAATTGATTGTAAGTATCTCATCTGAGCTCAAACAAATTATAATTGATTTCAGGATGGGATTGCTAAGGATGGACTTGAAGACGCTGTACATAAATATGCTATGGGGCTGTGTGCGGAAAAGACAGCCAGAGAAGGATCTATCGATCGTAAAGCTCAAGATGATTTCGCTATTCAAAGTTACAAGAAAGCCAGTTCTGCTTGGCAGGTATGCAAAACTTTCATTTACGGATAGCTAATATCTTTTTTTTGCAGAATGGACTATTCGCTGAGGAAGTCATGACTGTTCCTGTTACTCAGCGTGGTGGGGTTCTCAACGTGAGTGAAGATGAGGAGTATAAGAAACTCAACGAATCAAAGGTAAACATAATCCCTTATTGAAATACTCTAAATATGCGTAGGTTCCTACGTTGCGTCCAGTTTTTTCCAAAGATGGAACTATTACTGCTGCTAATGCTTCTTCTTTAAACGATGGTGCAGTAGCTGCTGTTGTTGTTTCTGGAGATTCTCTCCCAGCAGGTTTGATAGTTTTTGATTTCATAGTTTTTGGTTTCATTTAAAGGTAAAAAACCCTTGGCCGAGGTTGTAGATTTCGCTGAAGCTGGTGTAGATTCTATTGACTTCACTGCGGCTCCAGGCTTCGCTGTTAAGAAGGTTCGTGGTATTTGAGATCTGGTATTGAATTCAGAAATTTCAGCTTCTCGAGAAGAACAAACTTGCTGTAAGTGACATTGCTCTCTGGGAAGTCAATGAAGCGTTTGCAGTTACTGTTCTTCACTTCATAAAAGAACTTGGCATCAGTGAAGAGCTTGTGAATGTGAAAGGAGGCGCCGTGGCACTCGGTCATCCTTTAGGGTAAACTATATGAATATGACCAGAGAAACTGTGTTCGGGTATTTTCCAGAATGTCAGGGCTTCGTGTTGTTGTAACTCTTGCTTACTCTCTTAAGCCCGGTCAACTTGGAGTAGCCACTCTTTGCAATGGTGGAGGTGAAGCGATGGCTGTTCTCATTCGCCGACCTGAGTAATTCAAACACCAGTGGAACCATTCGTACTTTTATAATATTCCTAACTTTTTATTCACTTTTATATCTCACTCGGTTTATAAGATGGTTGTGGATTCTTGCCTAGTTGAACAGTGCGTTCCCTAAGTTTAACTTCAATTTAAAATTATTATGAACTAATTGATTTTTAACCAAATTACATACTGGAGGGAATAAATTATTTCTATCAACTATAAACCATTCCAGTTATTTCTGTTATTCACCATTGACTTACCTAATCGATTGTATGTTTGCTTGTTCAAAGACTACGATGAGGTGATCAACCAAAGTTTCTTAAGATGCTCACACTTCACATTTTGTCATCATTTGCAGATTATGGTCTGAACACTGTTATTTTGGTTTCTTCAGTAGTGTTACAGAATTTTGAAGGCCCTATTCCGGCTTTAGCCAGCGAAACAGCTGGTCCGGCCGATCGTAGTTCGTTGTGTTTGTTGTGATATTGTGGAATTCTTTGTTCTCACTCGAAATACTGCTAGTTTTCTCTCAATATTAGCGTTTTGAGCCTATCGATTTCTACTTTTCTTATCGTTGATGGCATACTTTGGACTTTGTGCATATATTAATCACGATAGCAATGAAAGTGTGCACGATGCACGGTATATTTGATTAGTTGTGCTTCATGCCCATTGCTTGGTTCTTGTTGATTCTCCATGTTTATCATTACAAATGCAAAGAATGATTACTCGCAACTCGTGTCCATCTTATTCGATTTTTGTGATTCTGAAGAGAACCTGAGCTCATTTATAGATGGCTTTTCTTGGTTATGGCGCTTTAGCCGCACTCGGTGGAGCTATAGTCTACGCTAATCTACCTACTCGTCTAACAATCGGAGCTGTGGCTCCTGCAGCTTCTTATTTAGCTCAAGCTAAATTATTCCCGATTAAGGATGATACTGCAGTTGAAGAAAACAAAGAGTTTGAAGTACGTTTTTTTTGTGAATCAAAAGTATTAATCTGTTGTTTTAGGCAAGCCAGTTATTCAAAGGCGGACCAACTATGGTAATGGCTGTCAGAAGACCTGGATGTTTGTTGTGTCGTAGAGAAGCAGCACGATTAAGCGATCTTCTCCCTGAAATGAAAAATGCGGGCATCGAATTAGTTGCTTGATTATTTGTTTCAGTCATGCAATTGGCTAAATTAAGGTTGGCGTTGTACATGAAACTAAAGGTGTCAAAGATTTCCAACCATATTTCAAAGGAAACATTTATTTTGACAGCGAAGTTTGAATTTTTCTTAAATTAAGTTATAAACTTTGGATCCGTTTTAGAAACGCTTTTATGGTCCCAATCAGCGTTGGATGCCTTTGTGGATGGGCTTCCTACGCGTTGGTACTTATATGAACGTGTATAAAAGCAAAAAAGAAGGATTTGAGGGAAACACCGCCGGAGAAGGGCGTCTTCTTGGAGGTTTCGTTGATAACAACGCTGACAGCTATTAAATTTGAATGAAATTTAGGTGTCTATTTAATCGCGAATAATGAGATTGTTTGGCATCATTTGGAGAAAGAATGGGGAGACGCTGCCAATATTGAAGAAGTTCGCGAGGCTATTCGAAAATTCAAATAAATCGTACATACTATTGTTCATGAGAACTTTTAATGAATAAAAGGCATATTATTTTCTGTCTGATTTGTCTCCGATTGATTGAAAGGCTGTTTTACCCTCCATGTTTTTCGAACGAACAACTTGCATTCAAAACTTTTATTTCTTTTATCTTGATTTAGAAAAAAAGATTACTAAAATGACGGCGATCGTCCAAGTTTCAAAATTTGACGCGCGTTGGCCAAAAATTACGTGGGGCACGTAAAAACTTTATTTATGAATGATCATGCATTGAAAGCGGTTGTTAGTTCCCCAAAGACATTCAAAACAGATATGGTATGTTTTCATCTTCATTTCTTTGGGATATTGTCCATTTTGTTTTTATTTAACACATTTCAACGTTATTGGGAAACAAACGAAACAGACATTCGTTCTTACCCTAAGGTTCACGGAAAGCATTGTGGTTTTCTCATTAGTGTTCTGATCGCACATGCTCGCCCCCGTTTGTAGTTCTATCTAGATTCATTCTTTGTTTCCGACACCTGCAGAGTTATTTCTGTTTTATTTATTGTTTTCTTTATTGGCTTGCTGGTGAAGAAGGGGGGTTCCTTAATATTATTGGTTCAAAAAGCCTATAGGCGTTAGCTGTACTATTTACGAAATCCTTATAGAGTTTCGCGTGCGAATGTTTTTCTTATTCAGTTTGTTGGTACTCCATTTAATTTATATATTTCAACTGAAATTCCAATAGTGAATAGGTCATGGTTCTACGTGAAGCCACAGATCGCATGCTGAAGAGGCTATGAAGATGTTTTCGGGCACACATTGCGCTCTTTGCTCTGTCCAAACGAAATCTGTGAAGAAATAATGTTGCTTTGTTTTGAGACGAACCCCACGAATTGGTTCAAAAAAACATGAGAGGAAGGCCATAAACCTCTTAGAAGCTGTTGAACCGCCTTGCACCGGTTGCTCAATGCTTTGTTTGTCTGTTTGTCTCTTCTACAACAAGACAGTTCAATAACGAACGATGTATTGAAAGAAAGTGAGAAATTTTTTTTTCCTACCGCAGTTTTATCCTATTTTCTTTAACGGCCCTCCTCACCGTGGGGCAAAAAGTGGGACCATTTCCTCTTCATCTTTTCTCTCACATTGTTCAAATGTCTTTCTTCAATCACTCAGCAAATCAGACTTCGCTTTGAGTTTCAATAAAGAGCCAGCAAACTTCTAGGTGCACGTGACGGAAGTACTCCAACGCCTAAAAGTTTTTAGTTTTTCATAGTGGCCTTAACGGTTCATCTGCCCGACATAACAACTCGAATTTCTTTTTTTTTTGATCTTTGATCATTTTCGAGCCATCTCTACTCTATTACAAGCTCCGCTTTACGATAAAACGTATTGAGGTCAAATGTACTAAAGCTATTATCATTTTTTTCTTCCGAGTAACAACGAACTCTGCATTTGTTCGCTGTCTAGTAAAACTTCTTAAGTTAAATCTATTTTCGTACCAAGTGTCATGTTGTTTTCTCGATTTAAGGCTGTATGATGAAGTACTGATAAGTAAATGAACTTAGTGTTGACTTGTGAGAATGTTTTTCTCTGCATATTCGTACAAATTAAATTATCTTTCCTTCTTTGGGTTTCTCCCACCTCAAAGGAAAGTTCAACCATATGACAGATATATTGTTTTGATCCATGTTATAACATTTGATATTTCTTAATATTTCATATTATTAAAATATTCCTTGTTTTGAACAATGCTGGCTCTGTTTACAAATTATATTATGTTTCAATCCTTGAAAAAGGCTTATTCTCTAAAAGGACTGTTTTTGAAACTACTTTAATGATTTCTGCCACTCCAATATTTTATCCTCACTTTTTGATGACCTTCATAGTTTTCTAGTCCTTTCTTTGTCCAAACATGTCGTATGTAGATCGACATAGGTGGTGATGATTCCGAAATTGGCGCGTAACAAATTTCTGCGATCTACAGGCTGTTGTTCGCAATCGAATTTCTAGTTTTGCGGCCAAGCATCTTACATTATTGTGTATGTGTTTTGATATGAGCTTTTCATATACTTTCAAAAGAGATTAAATGAGTTTCAAGAGAAGCTTCATGCCATTGAATAGTTCATTTGAGATTCCCCTTCTTTCCTTGTTCCATGTTTAATCAATATTTTGCTCCAGTTTATTTTTTTTCTCGCCACTGAGACATGTACTATTAATTAATCTGAAACGCTCGTGTTCTGCAAAGTTATTCATTGCACTGAAGATGAGAACGTGATGAGTGATAAGAAAAATATCAACTTCAGTAATCGACTACTGAAGATGAGAAAACGGCAGCTGACTATTCAGTGACCAAAGATTTTAATTCACAAACTTAAGTACGGATTGTTACGTTTCAACCGTAAGAGAGAAATCAAAATTTTGCTTCAACGTTTACAAAGGAATGAGAGTTCGAAGAAGACAGTACGTGTCTTTGTGAGAATAGAAAGAGTTTCCTTTTGTTTGTGATGTCCGCTGATTTGAGCTCTTAGTTGTACAAATATTTTCGTTAGACTTTCTTCATCAAACCTTTGACGAGTGGCATATTGGAGAAAACGACGAAGAGGAAAGAGTACGAGGACTGTGAACGTTTGTGTTGAACTGTCAGACCTTATTTTCTCTTTCTCTCCTCATCTTTTCCTCTTTCTTCCCTTAGTTCTTCGAAGGAATTAGAAGAACTAAGTAAAGGATGGAGGACAACAGAGAGGAAAAGAATAGATTCTCTCTTTTTCTCTCTATGTAAGAAAGAAAATTTACGATGCACACGAAGGTCTCCTCTATGACTTTCGCATTATTTTTCCTTTTTTTTTCAACTTTTTCAATGAAATGTACTTTATTCTTTTCCCGCTCATGGTTTCACCTATTTGTGATATGAAAGAGGAAGAATCGTCGAGGAAATGTGAAAAATTGTAGTAGATTTTCTCCCATATTCGAGTGCTTTTTGTTTGAACCGGAAATGAAATGAGTTTCTTAGCCATTCTCTCATACTCTCAACGTATTGACTTGTTTGGCTCAAATTTCTTCTATATTTGGGGTGAAAGCTTCAATGCTTTGTGAAAGGACAAGTTTAGCTCATCGATAAGTAACTGACACCACAAGTAACTCTTAGTTTTGTTGGTCTCCCCCTTCTCTCTCTCTTTTATAATCTTTCTCTCTCATTTTCTCTCTCACTCACTACCACTCATCCCTCCTTCTCTCTCCCTCTCCCTTCTTCCTCTCTCTTTAGAGTTTCAACTCATTGTTTTGCGTCCAATGAAATTATGTAGTCCCCGACCGAAATAAATATTTAAATGATTTTCAAAGTCCTTTCATGGGTTTTTCGAATATGTTTTTGTCGTTTTATATGTATGCTACCCATTAATCCTTCCATATTTATCCAATTTACTTTTTTTTCTTCGGAATTCATTCCATTCATCTTCTTTCATCCAGTTTTAATCTTCTTTTTCCAACTCATCCTAGTTCTAGAAGCTCCAGGGTGAAATTTTGCCTTTTTCACCTTTCTATTTGTTTTCACCATATTTGGCTGCAATCGTTGAGAAATGTTAAAGCTTCAAGGAAGATTTTCTTTTGCCATCTGATTCGATCTCTTTGATTAGTCCTGCGTTTGTTTCTTCCTCTCAGTGTATTCTCTTCCCTGCTTTTTCTGTCTCCATCGTACTCATAAAACTTTTTTGAGCGTGTGACTGAAATTTAAAAGAAACATTTTTCGTCATCTGCTCTTTTTGCACAGCTGAAAAAGTTAGAAGATGATTTTGGTTCAAATCAGATTTCAATCAATCACTTTTTCTGCTGTCATCGTCGGGCACAGCTTAATCTATCCATCATCTCTATTCATTTGGTAAAACCTTTTTCACAAACAAACTGTTTTTCTAATAAATCCGCGAAGCTCATGAAGGTCTTCCTCTTTCATAAGCTCTGAGCTATTTCTATCCCATAAAGTACTATTATAAGCGTTGTTTGATTGATAGGAATGAATTAAACTATCTGCAACATTTATTTTTATCCCAACGTTTTGTTTGTCTGCCATGCTTTCACGAAAACATTTAAAATGAAACTGCTTCTCTGATTCTATTCACACAGAATGACTGACCTATAGCGTCTACGACTCTTCCTCTTTTCTAAAATCACTTGGGTTTATACAAATTCTCAACCTCATTTCATTTATTTTAAACTTTATATGAATTAAACATGATTTTTTCATATTTTTCATATATTTTATGAAAGTCTGATTATCTCACTCTTCTCCCTTCGTTCCCCACTCTGTCTATGTTCATTTCCCCCCCCCTCTTTCTCTCTCCCTCTCCTTCCCTCTCTGCTTCTCTCTCTGATTCTCTCTCTGATTCTCTTCTTTTTCATCATTTTTATAGACATGAAATTGAGTAAGCTTGCTATCTACATCTATAAATATTGTTATTAGCTTATCTATCATAATTCTTTTATTTATATGTATATATGAAACTCAGTTTTGAATTTAGACGAAATCAATTTCAAAGTTATGTAAATGCCAAAAATTTCTCAAATCCTATTTCATTTACTTCGATACCAACTAAGTGCATCGCAAGCACAGTGGGGTTTTTGGCCACCCTCGTTTTTTTTGTTCACGAAAGAGTTGATGTTTGAACATTCTGCTCGCATTGTTCAAGCTTGATAGCGCCATAATTAGCATACTGGTGTGTTGGTTACGTATACAACATGACACGTGAGAATATGACGCCACGATTTCATTTTCAAATTGGATACGCGTGGATCGGTCGATTTCTCGTTTTGTCTGTTTTATCGTTTCTCCAAGTGTTCTACTACCTCCTATAACTTCTTTCATATATTGTATTATATGAGAAATCACCTTAGAACACGTATAATTACTTAGTCTGGTGATATTTTGACGTTCGATTTTTAACAAACATTTTGTTTAATAATATCATTGCACAAATTCGTCCTATATATCATTTTGAAGTATAATAGATTCAAGACCTGTCCACAGAATAAGTGCGTATACTCGAACATCTTCAATTTCTGAATTGAATTTTTCCTCATTCAGACAACATTCCTTTCGCAGGGCCCTTCAATTTCATTTAAACATCTTCTCTATTGAACAATCATTAAGTCATTTTTGTACTTTTCTCTCAGTAAGTTGTAATCAACGCGCAGGACTGTCTTCATGCTCAGTCAAATTTTGCCTCAGATCATTCATATTGTTTCAAAAATCAGACTTTCATTCAATTAGTCTTTCAAACTTGAAAGTCAATAACATAACGTTTCTTGATTTTGTTTCTGTCATCGTACTATTGAACATTTCGTTCATGTTTTCAAGAATTCCATGTATGCTTTAGTTCTCAGTTAGCAGCTCTACAAGCATTTTCTAAACGAAATGTTATTCTTTATGAACTACATTTCTGGAAGTTCGAGACGAACCGGTTCATCTGTTTGAAACCGAACGAATTAACTGCTTCAAATGACGTTTCCAAATCAGAAATTTATTGTATTGTACGCTGTTTACAAATGTCTGCGCTCATTCATTTCCAGTGATCTGGCTATCACAGCCATGTTCATTTCTATACTTATTAATTATCGTTTTATTCAGCGTGATATCAGTAACAGAAGTCATTGTGACTTGCGACCCAAAGCATATGGAAAGCATTTCACATGTTTATTTCGTTTTCGTAACTTTGGCAAATACCATCTGCTTTCTCACAAGCTGTTTTTTCTTTTTCTTGAGTACTTTGTTTTTTTGATACACAAGCCGAATTTTTTCCGCGTTGTAGGATCACATCAGTGCATAAGATAACTGTAGGCCAGTGTACTTAAAGAATTTAAAGGTTTTATTTACCAAATATCCGCTAATAATAAATTTATTTTGCGATATTGTTCAGCTGTTTAAATAAGATGCGTATGTGACATCGGACACGAAAAGTGATCTTTTCGGAATTATAGCGTGCGTCATCTAGATTTTTTGTTTTTTAATGTATGTAGTTGAATTCAGAGAGGACTGAATATACAAGTTGTTGAATTTTGACTTCTCCATCAATCTCCTATTTTCAGTTCTGTTCATTTATAAAACTTCATAGTGTACCTTATGTGTGGAAGATATTTGTACGGCTCTCATGCTATCTCGTTTACTGGCCGGCCACTTTTTTGTTGGTGTATTTCGACCTTGAAAATCTTTTCCACTCCTCCTTTTGTACTTTTCTCACACCAGATCGCTGCGTCCAGTTGTACGAGCCTTGATAAGTTTCCCAAGTTTGCTTCGCACGTTTACCTTCTCTCTTCATGGTTTATCCTGTGACTTTTGTCTTTTTAAGTTTTATGATGACTAATTCCTATCTATTTGTAATTTACACTATGTGTTATGTTTTTTCAAATATTTGCTTGTTTTGGAAAATTCATTCCATATTTCTCTGTTTAACATTGCCTGAAAGAGCTAGTAGAATCGCAACCTTGTTATTTCCGCTTACCTGCCAAATATAGGTTTTCTCCCTTTTATCTTTTCCTCCAGAAGAATTAGTGCTCTCATTTTCCTGTAAAGCTCTGAATTCCAACGCGGAAAGAGTGTTGGAGGCGTCGAGCATAGAAGAAAGAAAGAAAAGAATGATTATTCTTTCTTCCTTTTCGTTGCTTCCATATTAAGCTTCAAGCAATTCCAATCATGCTTCATTTTATGCTGAAGGAATTGGGTAGAACGTCTGCCTAACTTCTTCACATAGAAAATACATGATTGAACCCATTTCTGCCTTTTTCCATGCATCTTTCGCCAATTTTATCTCGAAATCGTGGCAGTCTCAGTTTGTCGGAAATCACCTGAATTGGGGAAGTTTCCATTTGTTTACTGCATCCGATTTGTTGCTAATTGTTTTCACCAATTATGACGACGTTCTTTAAACAACTACCCAATTTCTCCTAATTTATTGAATTTTGTTTTCGCCGTCTTGCCCTCAGACTTCCCACCCTCGCTCAGAAACTTTTTATCTCTCATTCTTATCACTTCTATCATTTTATCTTTCTCAAAAAGTAAATCTTTTTCTTATGTAGGGTTGGTCTCTGAACACATGCCGTCTGCTTTCCTTATCTTTTTATTAAATGAAACGTTTCTATCGTTTCACAATTTTGGTGCAGTTGATACCTTCTGAAACATGAAGTACTGCTATTTCACATGATTACTCTAGCCAAAAAGTAACTTCAGAATGATCTTGACACGTACTTTCAGTCAGAGAAGAGAAGCCTAACTTCACACATTAGCTTCTCTTCATGTATACTTCTGTTGGTTTTCCTGCTGATTTATTCACTAACTAACACAGCTTAGAATTCTACGAGAACACACACACACACGCTCTTTCCTATGTCATTTCGTTTTCTCTCAATCTCTATCGCTTCTCATTAAGTGAATGAACAATCGACCTACTGTTCATTTATCAATTTTTTTCTTTCAGTAATCATTTTTCATGTTTTTTTCTCTTATATGCTCTCAAGATTTCCTCTTGTTGTTTCCAATTTTATTCAAGAATATGATTGATGTTTTGTTTCTAAAGAGACAACAAACTTTCTCGGATAATGAGCATTGCCATCCGACTAGCGGAATTCTTAGCTTTTATTTGCCAGTGCTCTTCTCCTTGGAGACAACTCTCTCTGTCACATTTCTCCAATATTATTTATTAGGATAAATGAAAACTTATTACTGAAAATCATGTATTGCTCTTTGCTAGTTGCTTTTCGAAGTTCATGCTAATTCATGTGGCATAATCAGGAGAGACATTTCTATTGTTTTTTTTGATATTTGTCACTTTTTGCCTTCATTGAAAGCAGCTGACGATTCTCAAGCACTGCTCAATCTCATCTGAACATTCGGCTTATGCTATCCAATTACTTTTTTTGTTCGTTTTGATACATATTGCTCATGAATACACTGCTGGGTACATTCGTATTTGTCGTCTTCTTGTACTAATTTCTTTTTTTCAGGCAATGAGCCATTCGTATAGGGTAACTCCTCAACCAGTGCATACTACAGCTTTACCATGTAATGTATATAGTCCCCATATATCTTCACCTAAAACCTGTAAGTTTTCTCATTCATCTATAATACTAGTTTTTCTACTGTAGCACCGAAAGATGAAGGATCTGCTCGCAAGAGACACAATTCCGGAAGTGTTCATCGTCATCCTTCTATTCTCTCAGGTACATTGGGTTTAAACGAATTAGCCTGAAACTGAACTTTTCAAGGTCTTCGCAATCTAATGGTCCGTCCTCGAAGTGAAAGTTTGAACTCCCAAACGATGCAGAAGCCCGTTCGGCAAATGATGAAAGTTCAGGTACTGAAAAGCTTCTTTTGGTTTCCGAGCGAGTTGCTTAGGTGTCGGCTTGTCAAGTGGAGTCTGTTTATGATCTCAGAGAAGGTGGAGCTGAAGCTGATTTTTACGATGATGAAACAGCTTTCCGTAGACCTAGGAGTAATAGTTCGGTTTGTCAATATGGAGGTTACCGTATTTAGCAATAAATTTTTCAGGATTTTTTGATTTTACGGAAGACTTCTCGCCCTTTGTCAGTTGATGTAGTTGGTCTAGTTGGTGAGAAGAATTCAATGAATCGGAAAGTTCACAGTAAAACTCGTTACAGATGCTCAGTCTGATCCATATCGACAGTATATGAAAGTTGTTGATTGTTATGAGTTAGCTCCAGTGGCTGGGAATATTATAGCTCTAGATAAGGAAATGAAGGTGATCACTTTGACATTTAGGATGATTTCAACCTATGTTCGCCCCTTTCTCTACATATTTTTCTCGCAACTTGTTTGTCAAGCTGCTTCAAATTTGTTTTCCGCCAACTGTTCGAATTTCTAGCTTTAAAAGCAAATTGCACTCAAGTAAATAACGTTTCCTAATAAAAGTTCAATCCGCCAGGTTGACAGTTCAACGAGAGCTTATTTGTCTTCTTTCAGGTTGAGAAAGCTTTTGCTGCATTATGTGATAATAACGTTGGTGCTGGCCTTGTTTGGGATGCTAGTAAGAACAAGGTATTTTACTTTCTCTAACTTAACTCGCGCATCAAATCGACGCTGTTCTGTCGAAACAACTTGAGAATCATCTCTTCAGAAGTAATTTTTTACTGAACATCGTTTTGTACGAGCAATAGTAGTTCGTAGAGAACGAATAATACGCACAGCCGGAAAAGAAACCGTTAAAATTGAAAATGAAAATCATGTCTCGCGTTCACGTAAACCTCGCGCTTAACGTGAAAAACGAGAATAACTTCTCGATAACTTTGGAAAATATTGAGTTATGCTGATAACTCCTCACATATTTTATTTTTTTCACGTTTTCAGATTATTTCAATTGTCACGCTGACGGATTTCATTGGACTTCTGCAATCAGATCGTCCCACTACTTCGCAACAGTCATTGTCTGCTATTCTCTCTGGTAATGAGTTGGTTACTATGTCAGCTGAGAAAAGGTTGGTTTTAAACATATTGGATAGAATCACGATGTTGTTTTTTATAGATTACTCGACGCTTGCGAAGAATTTTGTTTAAATCATGTTCATCGCTTAGTGATAACAGAACCAGGTTCAGGGGATGTGTTATATTTGCTGACGATCAAGAGAATTTTGCAAGCTATTCATAAACAAGTGAGAGATTCGAGATTTATTTTTTGCATTTCCTCATATTTTACAGAACCGTTCTCTCCATTTCGCTCAATGGCTTAGTTGTCCTATCAATTACTCTGCTGTTGGAACGTGGAACCAAACAATTCATAAGGTGACATTCTTGATCGAACGCCGTACCTAATGTATGATTTCAGTTGACTACCACAGAAAATATATCTACTGCGGTTCGTCTTATGCTCGATACCAGAGTTTCTTCTTTCCCTGTTGTTGACGAATCTGGTAAAGCTATCGACGTTCTCTGCAAAGCAGATCTTGCCCTTGCTCTAAGAATGACACCAGTTGAACAACATGTTAGTCCTTATCATATTATTCTGGAAAAGCTTGATTTGTTCCAGTCACAACTCATCGGATCACCTGTTGCTTCCATTTTGTCTTCAAGACCTGCAAAACGTTTTATGAGAGCAACAGACTCTGTTGGAAAAGTAAGACTTGAAGTCGCGTAGGGAACAGCAATAAATCTTATTTTTTCCAGATCCTCGATGCATTGTTATGCAGTCGTCATACAAGAAGTGTTTTTGTTATCAATTCAGATGGGCTACCTATAGCTTGTGTTTCCCAATCTGATGTGATTTCACACCTGATTCACGACGAAACTCCTTTCCAAAGATGTCCCCCGAAAGTAAATGAAACGGCTGAAGAAGCCTTAGAATTGGATTCTCCCACGCAAAATTGATGAAATGAGTTTCATCGTGTTGCAGCTCATGATAAGATGTTTGCTTCGGCTTGTTTTTTCTTTGTTCTTGGATTACTTTCTATCTACCTGGTTTTTCATCGTTTTCATGGGTGCCTGCCTGTACATATCATGTGAATATGGGTTTTAATGATAATAATTTTCCTAGTCCTAATTGGGAATCAGAAGAATCCTGTTGTAGTACCGGTCGTTCGTTTCAATATAATTACTTTCTTAGGACTGTTGTTCCCATTTGGACTTTTTTTCGTTAAGAAATTTTTTTACTAATATTTCAAAGATTAACTTTTAAACGCTAATCTTCATCATGAGTTCGTATATTCTTTGATTCTTTTCTCACAATACTGTACTAACCTTAGTTTGTATTCGTTTTCATGCAATATCCGTTCATTTTTTACGCGATAAAACGTTTTTATTTAAATCTTACTTTCATTTATGGTATTCCCCTTTTGCCTTAAGGGGAGATTTCTATAAGTGCATTGTGGCTTTCTAACCTGCCCTCGATCACCGGGATTGACCTAAAAAGTGCGAATGATCGCACATGTCCTGAAAGTGACATGAAATGGAAATTATGGTACGAAAATGAGAACAAACCGAGGAGGTGGAACACTATGATCTCCTTGTGTGTGTGAAATGGCTTTCGCCCATTTAGAGAAACGAGTCATTGTATCTTAGAAAATCTCATACTTCCTTTTACGAACGCGTTAAGAAGACAGCTTTCGAGCCAATGTGAACGTCTTAATGAGGCGAAATGGAACGGAATAGTAGAGGTTAAATAGCCGGCAGAAGGTTCACAACAATATTTTCTGAACAACATTCTTCTTTTCATGAGTTTACTGGCGCCGCGCCATCTGGCGACAGACGATTTTGTTCCAAAGAAAAAGAAAGGACATCTAGGACAAGTTATATAGGTCTATGCCGTATACGGAAAAGGATAATTAGATCACTTTCCAAGCACTTTAAGGTGTTTAAATTTCTTCCAAAATTGAAATAGATTTCCAAGTATATTCTAATCTAATTCTGTGATCAGTAAAACCAGGGTAGCCATTAAAGTCCGATCTGCTTTTTTATTTGTTTCAAATATGATGAGAGAGACAGAGAGATTGAGAACCTGTTAATAAGGTGAGGATTAAAGAAACATATCCTCACAGAATGAACCCACAAGATGGGATGTAGTTTAATCTTTGTAGTTCGCTCTGTTTACTCCAATCTGGGCATTTCTAGTGTCTACGCTACCTCAACTCGCGGTACAAAATTTTTTTTCCTATTATTTTGCAATTTCCCATTTTTACAACATTATGTTTTGCTTCGATATATGCTGTAATCCAAATGTTTTTTTCTACTTTTTGTTTCTAATTTTATGCTCCGTTTTCTCCAACATCCTGCTTTTTCACGTAAATTTGCATAATTTCGTTTACGTTTTCTAGCGTGCTCATTAGCATAAGGTATCCACGTGTCGAAAAGCGCTATTTGACTTTATCTTGTTCCTAAACGGTTGCAAAATATATCGTCTCTCTTCACTTTCTTTTTGTTCCTTTTTTTTTTTATTTCACTCCATGCACTCATTGCACTGACGCAATCCGAGAATGCGGATGTGAGGCGCATTGTTATACAATCAGTTATGAAGATATTTCATAACTGCACTTCGCAACCTATCTTTACGTGGTAACTGATTATTTCTATCTCTTTAGAAACTTTTCCTCTTCTTTTTTCTCAAGTTATGAACATTTATATAAGATGCTCGATGTGACATAGACAGGCTACAGGCAGATGTGACCCTGATTGACCTCTATCTATTTGACTCACTCAATGCCTTGAATGACTTGCGAATAGTTTTAAGCCAATTAAGTTAACATCCCTCTCATGGGAAGTATCTTATTTATTTTATTTCGGCATGAATAACACTTGATGCACACGAAACATTTTAATAGGATAGGCTTAACACCTGTCATGTGGGTCGATCAGTTTCATAGTTACTGAAGAAAAGTATGGTCCCTCATAAGAAAGCCTTTGTAGTATCAATTGAGTTTGTGAAAGCTTTTTTTAGGGCATATATATATAAAAAGCTAATTCGTGTGATTTTCTGTGTTGCTCTGAATGGCAGCTGAATGTCATGGTTGATTGGTGTAGGCTACTCATTATATTAGTTTTGAAGCAGGCGAAGGTCATTATCTTTTTATATTCTATGGTGCTCATACCATTTAGCTTAGAAATGATTATGGGACGAAAAGTTTGTTAGTTGACATAGCCTTATTTATTTGCTTTTCCTTATCCTGATGACAGACAATCTGCCTCTTATTTTTATGCTTGATGGTGATGGTCCCAATAAATGATTGGTGCTTATTTATCATCTGGCCGCTAAGTTTGTTCCTATTTGAAAAGGTGATGTTGGGTCACCAGGTCAAACAGTATCATTGTGATAATGCGGAGGACTTCTTTTCAACGGGTTTCATCAGGACCTTCCGATTCTTTTGATTTTTTTTTCTGATTTTCATATTCATTTCATAAATCACGTGCCTCTAGTCTTTGCTCTTTCTGCAAATGAGTTAAAATCGTTTTTCTTAATTGGTAGCTTCTCTGATAGTCCTTCAGCTCTCATTGCTGTACGAATCGCTTCCAATTTCCAACTCAAAAGATTTTGTTCGAGTCAAGAATTTCTAATTCCATTCAAACCTAACAGTTCTGCTTTACGTTGGATGAAGGACTGCAGATGGCTCTTGTGGTCATTCACTGGAATAACGGAATAACAGATTCACGCATCATTCTAATAATGGCAGAATCAACTGTATATTATTTTTATGATTTGAATCTACTTATGGACATCTATGTCAGAAAGACTGACAAACAGCCGCTTTCCTAAGGTCAGCTTCTCACACAAAATGTTTTGAGTGTGATGAGACAGATACACCCCAGAATCTCTCTGTAAAAGCACTGGTTATTCTATTGCAGACAATGTTGTTTACGCGAAATGCTCATTGCCGTCGGCTTTGTCTTCCTTTCTGCTTCATTCTGTCTCCTTTCTCTCTCTCCTATCTCTCTTAATATTCTTAATGTTTCATTTATTTCTTATGCTGTTGTTCTTGTATTATCGGCCTTATTTTCTTTCTCTCACTCTCACTCTCTTTCTCCTGCATCCTTCCTCTCTCTCAATAGACATATTGCTCCCTATCATCTCTTGAAGCTTTTGACTCGTTTGGCCTTGCTCTGGGATGTTTACAGGGTCTTTCCAGGTCACTCTGTTTACAGCTTCTCATTTTGTGCTTTCAAATGTTTCCCGACTGTCTCGAAAGAGTTACTTTCTATTTCTATTCTATAAGTTGCTAGTCAACACAGGTAATAGAAATAATTATTTCATTCGTCAAATGATTAATTGAAACACCTTCATGATCAGAATTTGCCCAAAAAAGGGTTTTGTTTCTTATTATTCTTTGCTTGTTTAGTTTGATATTCTCTGAACAATTGAAACTGTTTGTTCCTGTTTAGTTGACTGTTTTCATTCACCTACCCCACCCACCCCCCTCTATCTCTTTCTCTCTCATCATGTTTCCATGCCTTTTTGTATTTTTTTTCTTTTTCTCCTTTTTCTTCCTTTTTTTCTCGGTTGAACCTGTTGACTGTTTTTGTTTAATTCCATCTCTCATTCCCACCTATATTTGTGCATGATTGATTGAGAACATCTACTGTTAGTTCCGTTCAATCGACTATTCATCCTCAACCTTGCCTCCTCTGATCTGGGCTTTTTACTCATTTCATCAATTTTACTCTTTAATTAGAGCAAGTTGAGTGTTCTTTAGAGTGACTCTTTTAACTAATTTCGCAAGTGAATGCTCACATATCTTCATGGTTTCGAAATACCGATTTAAGTCAGATTTCATGTTTCAAATAATTTAATCATCAACCCTCCCTCCCGTCTTTCTCCTCTACGCTTTCTCCTCATCGTTCAACGTCTTTTTACATTTCCCTTTCTTGTCGTCATTATCTTCATATTTCTCGTTCCACTTTCACCGTTTTCTCTTGGGTTAGTATGTGTAGTCAGGCCCGTTCCAATGTGTCCACACGACCCTTCCTCCCGCCTTCGCCGTCTCCTGGGCTTTCGCTTTCTCCTCCCGTCGACATCATGATGGTCTTGACGTTCGTCCGCTTCAGTTTTCATTTTCATTCTGGTCATTTTTGAGATAACAGAATTTTCTTTCGTCAATTTAAATTGAAATTCTCTTTCAATCTCCTGAAAATAGATTCAGCGTACTGTACTGGGCTCTTATTGCGTTCCCATGATATTCTTAATATTTTGAAAAGTTCTGATTTATATTTGAAGAAGCAATCTGAAATTCATTCTCAACGAAACATTCTCTTATTATTTTATTTTCGTTTTCATTTCGCTGTGAAGAAAAAAATGAGAAGAAACATATCTGTCCAGTCACGTCAAACAAACGTACGTCCTGGTTTGTTTGTCTTGTCTGCTGTATTTCACCTTCATTTTTGTCTCTTTTCCATTTCTCATTTAGAGCTCACTTCAATATTGTTCAAAATTGTGTTAGTCTATCAGAAGATGCTAGCTGAGCTAGTCGCTTCTTAGTTTCAATTATTCCTTTCATTCGAAGTGCTTTTTTGACATTTCTATCTTCTCGTTTTATATTCTATTATTGTCTTCATTATCTATCCTTTTACTATATATATACTATGAATGTATTTGTGTATTTTACTTCTCTTTCAGCTTTCTTTTTCTCTTTATCTCTTCATTCAACCTTCTTACTCGTTCTCTCTCTTTGGGCACAAAAAGAGAATCAGAGGCCAGGTCAGGTCCAGGTGGGGCCACTTACCAGCTCGCGGGCAATCCAATCAGCCAGCCTATATGGGCTTGCCTCACTGTCTGTCCTCATTTATGTTATTCTTACTCATGTGAAACGAGCTCAATCGAAGTTTTAAAGCTCAAACTGTTACTATCAGCAAGCGAAGTTGTTCAATTTACTTTCACTTGATCTCTGATTTCTAAAAAAGTTTTGTCAACTTTTTGATTTTTCCGCTCCTTTACGTGTATCCTGTTCAAGCTTTGTTCCGATGATAACACAATCTTCTGTCTCTATCTTTTACGCACATAGCTATTGGAATATGTCTCTTTCAATTTCTGCTGATGGGCCCTGAGCTAGCACAGAATAATGGATAGTAGCTAGTGTGAGTAAGAACAAATAACGTGCGAACCATTATTCACTTATAAAAAACAACTCTGAGAGAGTATATCTATGATGATTATAATTTTTCTGCTGCCATGTATTCATTGCCTTGAAATGCATGTCCTTTCTTAGGCCAAGTCAGCCATCTAACTATGCCTTTTTTTTGGGGATAGGCTGTATGATGTTCGGTTCAAGGACAGGTCATCATCATAACTCTCGAGTAGCCTTCAGTTGTACCTCTTGTTCTCTCCGATTCATAGATGATCTTCAAAATGTTTCAACACTTTCGATTTTTTGCTTGTCGATGTTACAATTCTTTTTTTTTCCTTCTCAAAATGTTCTGCTTTGTTTGTTTGTTGTCTCTCAAAGACAACAAGAACAGAAGAACTCGTTTCATCGTCGTCTTTTTTCCTTCTAATTATTCAGTTGAAGCTTTTGCTCGTTCAATACTTGGCTTTCGATTTATTTTTCTGTTTTTCATGTTGTACGTCATTCTTTTATTAATTGACTTCAGCCATCTGATGAAAGTCGTTTTTCTCTTAAACATGTTCATGTAATATCCGGTCAATCGTATTCTGAATCCTCGTCTAAAACTAGTCGGGGTCAGTCGGTCGTGAACTTGATAGTCCTCTACCTCCTCTCGTTTTCTGTTTTCCATATATAGATGTTCCAGGAACTGGAAAGCTTCAAATTCTCTTGAATTTGGTTGTTTTCATTTGGAACTAGAGAGACAGAATTAAAGGGGGGGGGGCAGATTTGGGAGAAAGGCCTGGGTGGTTAAGGTTCTGCTTGAGAACACCAGTTGATGATCATAATTCACGTTGTAACATGTGAAAAGGAGAACTCGAGCAGTAGGGAGAAGCTTACTTTGGATTAGAAGTATGATGACCTTAAGACGCTTGATGAACGAGATGACTGTAACGAAGATCATTGGATGATATCCCTGCGTTATATTTTGTTTAACCGAGCCGATCGTCTTGAAGAGTAAGAACTGGACCAATGACCCACTAAAGTCATGGTCTATCTCAGTTTGTTCACAAAAACAGCTTGATCGAAAAGCCTATTTTTCCTCACCAGGTGTTTCTCATTTGTTGAAAGAGAATACGTTTTTGATAATTGAGACAAGTATTATAGAGAAAGGAAGAGAGAGAGATAGACAACGATAATGAGAGATGGTGTATTGGACGGCGACTTTTATTTGCTTGCCCTGACGGTCAGATCATCGTCGACAGAAGCAATGGAAGAAGCATCATCATAAGCGTTGCGATAGTAGCTTGTCGTTGTCATCAAATTTAGATGGACATCGTCGAATTGACCATCAAGCAGCTGTTTCTAAATTGGAAGCATTATATTCAACCTGCGCCACCCAAGAAGGAACCATGGTTGACCTAATAAATAACTGAGACTCTTTCATATTCTATTTATTTTTAATTATTTATTTTTATTTATTTCCATCATGTTTACTATTCATCAAAACGTGTTCTTTGTTGCTGTTTTGACTTTTAGAATTCTCTTTCTAAAAAAAACCTGACTCATTGCAACCTGATGACCAGAACTTGACTCTGTTTGATCCCATGACGATCCTATTCGTTCAATTTTCCTTTTTCTCTTTCAATCTTTGAAGTTTTTCGAAAGTTCTTTTTTTCAATACTTTCCATGTGTAGTCAGATTATCCCTGAGTAGAGCATTGAATGAGTTAAGAGCTGTTTCCTAATATGCTTTGATGTGCTTACTTACTTTCAATGATCCGTCCGATCTACTCATCGTTGTCTCTCAAACCTTTGTGCACTGATTTTGATGAAAAACATACACACATATCTTAAAATAGCTCAAGTTTGTTAAACCATTTTGTAAAAAAATGGAGACAAAAGAAAGCAAACGGTCAAAGCAACCGGATGAGTACGCTGAGAGAACTGTGGGATAGATGGGAGGGAAGAGCATTGGCGATAAAGAAATGACGAAAAAAGCACACACGAGAAGAACTTCTTTTCTTTTCGTTTTCGATTCCACTTCTAATACAATACCGGCTCTTTTCGTTTGTGGTTGATATTAGAAAAAGTAAATTCTATTTTTGGATTGTGCTGAACTCAAACTAAGAGAGATAGAAGGTCAGAGAATTCCATACTTTGTTCCGTTACTTTCGTTTGAGATTTCATTTCCAGTTGACACCTTTATTTGGCTTCGCCAAAGTAATTTCATGTGAAAAGAATTAGATGACTGGGTGGAAAAGAGAGCCAAAAATGGGAAATGACCATATTACGATCATAGGAACGGCAATATGTCTGACTGTGGTCCGGTTATGCTTCTTCATTTCTAAAATAGGTCAGGAGGGTTGGCATAATGCGCTTTCTGGATAATCTACTTGTTTCACAGCTAGTTATCTCTATGACTATCACATAGAGACGATCTGAGAGAGTGAGAAGCAGAGAGAGAGAGAGGGACTCAACTGAAAGTTGCATTGATAGTAATTTTCATTTTTATGTCATTGTGTTGGACAACAAAAATATTGGCAACTGTGAACGCTTATGTGATGAATGGTTTCGTTGTTGTTTTGTATTTGTTTCTCTGTTAACCTTCCAGCACATGCTTTTCACTTCTGCACACATTCAGATGTTTTCTTTTTTTTCTTCCCTCTCCCAAATATGGAGTGTAACATGCGTCTTCTCTCTTTCATTCTCACACTTGATCTTCTTCTGCTATGGCTATTGTCCCGATCTGATTACTTTCACTTTTTTTCGAAGATAAACGACGTTCCCTTTCTTCCTCAGCTTCAATTTTTCTTTTGACTCTCTCATCCATTTACATAATATTTCTTTATTTCTTCTTTTTTTTCCGTTTACACTTAACGTTCAGCCGTTTTTTCTTCACATTTATTCATCCATTCTCTGATCGTTGTTCTGTAATTCTTGTAAACATTCTCCAATTCAAAGTCTTCGATTTTCAATTTGAAACTTCTTTTTTCGTCGTCGTTGTCGTCGTTTCAACTTTCACCTCCGTTTCCTTCTTCTCAACTGTTTTTTTCCTACTTTTCTGATTGAACATCACAAATCCCTTAACCTTTACTACATGAGTCGATAAGCATGCTCTATATCGTAGTTTGTACTTTATAAAGAGAAGGAGAGAGAGAGAGAGAGAATGATAGAGAAAAAGGTAAAAGGGTGGATGGGAGACATTTGAAATTGAAAGCGATTCTTCTCAGTACATTTTTGTTTGATTCTCTAACTTTCTCTCCAAGAAGATATGTTAAAATATACTATTTGAATATCTCAAATCGTCGCTTCGTCTGATGTCCGGTTTGATATAGGTCAACCCCCCACAGAACACGATACATGGCCATCTATGGAAGAAAGAGAATTGGATGAGCGCTGGACGGACGAAAAGAGAAAGTAATTGTGAAAGCGAAATCTTTAGCTCTCTATAATTTTCTCTCTCTTTCTCTTTCGTTTCACTCTCTTTATCTTTTGGTCAACCTTTTTCGACTAAGAAGGATGCACTAACGGAACACCCCCTAACCCTTCCAGCATTAATTCTTCTGTCTCTCAACGGTATCGATGAAAGTCAGCCTCAGGCGAAATAGGAGGCGAAAGGGGTTGTTCAGGGGTGGAAAGTGAATTGTCCTGCCCTCTCTTTCTCTTATCTCCTCCCACTTCAGTGAAAACCAAAGTTTCACTCATGTTTCAAACTGCACGCGTCGCTCTTAACACGCGTTTGTTGATTTTTGTTTCTTTTTTTTAGACTTTTTTTTCTATATCCTTCCACTCGTTGTTTATAATTCGTTGTGATGCCTCCTGTTTTTTTCAACTTTTTTGTTTCAGGATGGACGTTGACTCGTCATCATCATCCTCACCCGCTGGGCGCCTATCCGTTCTCTGCTCAGCTTCTAATGAATATTCTTCAAATTCGTCTGAAGCTTCATCTCCAACCTCTCGAAGGTAAGTGTTCAACTTTCTGTAATAAATACATTGGAGTTTAAGAAGTTCTATGAATGAACATATTCTCAAAGATGATCAGTACTGGGAGAGGAGGCGGAAGAACAATGATGCTTCTAAGAGGTATACCTTTCCCATAAATAGTTTATATAATACCATGCTTTTATAGATCACGAGAGAAACGACGGTTAGGTGACATAGCGATGGAGCAGCGTATCCTTGCTCTATCAAGAGAAAATGAAATTCTGAAAACACAGTTAGAATCTCGAACAGCTACAGACTCTCTGCTGGCTACCAGAAATATAGCAGAGTTTGCTGCTTTACCAGCTCAAAGTAACACTGTGCAAGCCGACCGACCGAGCATTTTCGCTCCAACGTCTCTGAACTCAGCCTTAGGCCTACCATCTCTACCTCTACCTAGCACATTACCATTAGCCTCTTCGTTAGCTGCTTCAGCGAACACCCTGCCGCCTGTATTACCAACAACGGCTGCTGCAACTTCTGCTTTACCTCTTCTTCAAATTTATCAACTTCAAAGCGCTCTACAACAACAGGTATGCCTTCCTTCTTCTTTTTACTGATACAGACATAGCTCCATATTTCATCATCTTCACTTTTTTTTGAAGACCTTGGACTCAATTTCTCCTCGACCTGTCTCTCACTCTCACTTTATACCTCTTTCTTCCTGTTCCTCTATCCTTTTTGAAATTCTGAAAAGCCTTCAAGATTGTCATTAAACCTTTGGATTCACAGTTGAAACCATTACTGCCGAAAGGCATGCAGCCATTAACCGTATTTGGGGTAATGACGAACGTCTGTGCACATCGCACTCAATACGAATTTTTATTTTTTCGCCAAAGGCTGAGGGCAAATTTTCAATGATGACCACACAGCCATCACCTGCTGTTCCAGATTTGATGACCGAATCGCATTGACGACAACGTCTGCAACATCTCATCTACATATCCTCCGGGGACGACGTCTGTCCTCCTCACCTCTTTATACGGATGTGGTCCAAACTATCCATCTATGGGTCGTCCGGTTATCGTCCTCTTCGCCTTGTTCTTAGGGCCACCTGGACGACCTCTTTTTTGTACTTTCACCTCCTTTACTTATTCCATTTCCTTTTCTTCATATGTTCTAGTCTGTTATCCTCCGTATTCCCTCTATAAAACTATTTGAAACTCTGAAACTTAATAGAATATCATGAGCTTAAAACATATAAGAAAGACTAGGCTCATACTACGAACGCTATGTCGACTTGAAATCCTACCAGAACTTCTTATTACTCCTTTACTACATAAGAAAAACAAGTTTTTTAACTCCTATTGCTCTCTTACTTTCTCCCTCTCTCTGCATAAACACCTCTTAAACAAGACATAGTTAGCTTGAATTCTGCATAGTTGGAAATAGCATCAATAGCAGCTGCTAACCATCAAATGTCCAACAGAAGACACATGACCAACTGAAGCCGGCCTTATGAATCCAGTTTTTCTCATTCAACGCCAACGTTTGGCACCCAAAGCCTCTCCATGATTCTTTCCATTCATATTTAAAAATTATTTCAACTCCCTGTATTCATATTAGGATTGAATCGTTCATAACTTCAAGAAGATCAGTTTATTCACAAGTTCAATGACTGATTGCCCTCATTTAACAGAATTGCCTCATAAACTTTCCTATTTTTTCTTTCTCACTTGTCTCTCATGCATACTTTTTGTGTTCATCATCAAATAATATCTTAAAGCTTCCTCCCTATGTCAACAGCTTTCTCTGAATGAAAAAAGAATTATATGCATATTTTTCAGGCGTACCGACCACAATCGGCCTCTAGCGTGTTCTCCTTAGGCAGTGCTTTTACGCCTTTCCAGAAGGAGTCCGTTGTAATGAAAGCTGAACGAATCAGTCCTGATTCTTCAAGTGATCGAACACAGAATGTCATTAGACGTGTGCCTACACCGCCTCCAACTTCATCTTCCTCCTCAACTTCAACTTCATCTTCATCCTCTTCTTCTCATTCAATCTTAGGACAAATTCTATCATCGAGACGGGTATCTCCTTCAGTTCCACAAAGTAGAACAGAACATCGTAGTGGATTGAGTAGTCCTCCTAGAGTAATATTTTGTTTTATTATAATTAATTCATGGAACATGTTTCAGACATCCTGCTCAAAATCTGACTGCGAATCGATCTCTTCTTCCGCTTCATTGTCGCCATCGCATTCTTCGGAAGATCATTCCGAAAATTCAGCCATAAGAGAAGCATTAGGTGGTGAAAATCGATTAAAATCTGTAAGTAACTAATACAAAAGTTTCATTATGAAGTACCTCACTATTGCAGTATATGGATCGGAGACGACGTAATAATGAAGCCGCCAAGAGGTGTCGAGCAAATAGACGAGCAGTTTTCGAATATCGCAGTAAACGAGTTCAGGTAACACCACTACTCCTTCCAACCATTCTTAAAGTTCTGCGAGAATTAAAAATATTCGAAAGTATTTTTGACCAACCGTTTCATATATTCTGTCAATTCAAAATGGTTACTGAAATCATTTGACGTGTCAGCTTTACGTGGAAACGACGTGTGGATTTCTCACGTGAATTTGTTTCAAATAACTAATACTCGCTTTAAAACTCATGAAACTTTCTATTTTCAGTTATTGGAAGGAGAAAACGAACAGTTAAAAGAAGAAATTTCTCGTTTAAAGCAAGAACTTCAACATCAAAAAGCCTTATTGAGTAGCTTAAACAAATTGGATTAAACTTTTTTTTTTTGTAAAAGACCTTCCCAGATTTCTTCAGACGGTTCTGAAGTTTTTATAACTTTCAAATATAGTTAACCGCATAGCTTAACGGAAAAAGTGATCAAAACAGTTGAGTAACATTATAAACTTCGCCCTACCGCACAGTACAGTAGGTTTCCCGGATTACAGTCTTTGAAATTTCCTGTACTCTTTAACATAAACTCTTGCCCAGATAGGAATAATCAACTGTTTGTTCCAACCAACCAAATCTCAGCCTCTTAAGAAACGTCTAGTGATCGCGTAGTTCTCGCAGCTAGAAGCCAATGGTCTTTCTTTTAAAAGCTCTCTTCCCCTTCCCCCCTCCCCCCATTCATTTGAAAGTATAACTATTCATCTAATAATACTTACAAATAATAATTTATTAATAATCGTCTGAATTATG